GCAACTCTTTTGAGTCTACACGAATTTCAAGGGGAACAGTACCCTCCCATGTCAGGCGGCGAAAAAGAGTTGTTGATGCTGGAGTTGAATTCGCAGACGGTTGACCGTGATGGCGTGTAGTACCGTATGCAGACATCAAAACTCTGTCGAGATGGCAACTATTTGCAAGAAGCGCTTCAAGAGAGTCTTAGTCGTGACTCGTTAGAGCAGCAGCAAGTTGATTATGATGATTCACGTGACTCGACGCGCCCAATATGTAGTTACGAGTCTAACTAGCACCATCACACAATATGGTCCACGTCGCAGCACCTTCGCTGGATTGGTTCAGGTTGGTGCCAAAGGCATGCTAGCAGATTCCCTCACAGCACACATGACTTTCTCAAGGCCCTTGGCTTTGAGATGAATATCGCCAAGAATGGGATGACTTGCTGTTCCCCCCGGTAACATCCAAGCCAATAAAGGTTGAGAGTACAAGCGATCACAGTATTCTGGATGTCTTTGGAAGGATCACAGCTGACCACACTGACCTATGGAACCATCCGCACCAATCATGAGTGATGCGTTCTTTCAATCACCACCGTTGCCTGAACTATTCTCCGTACGCATTCCCGACCCTATTCAATAAAGCGAAGATCTGCCAAGGTCGTAGATCCAGGAGACTTCCTACCTATCACGGACAATTGGGTGGTTCTGCCGCCACAATCGCCTCGTATTATTGTCTTGACAAATCCATTCAACAGCGGAGGGAAAACGGACGCTTTTAGGGCTCGACGGGTGGTTCCATGATAGAGGTTTGATGTGCTCGCCGCTACAAGGGCTGTGAATATACGAAAATGGAGGTCCCTTTCGAGTGCCAGGGAGGCCAAGGACAACTATTAACCCCAAATCTTGAACTCCGATAGCATGATCCTCGGTGTGATCAGGACTCCAGGAAAGGCGTCATGCATCAGTGGGTTGGATTGCAGCTACCGAATGCTACAGAACGCTCTGTAGCATTCTGTACTCTGTGATGAATTATGTTTCCCTGATGCTGAGAGTTCACGTTTGAAGACTTTCTTCTCAGCTTGCCGTCAAAGAATGTGTCGGTCCGGCGTCGCCACATGAATTCAATTATCGTGGTAATGCTTCTGTTGAGTTGGAGATGGTACCGACGTCGATCAGACAGAAGAACATTCAGAAAGGCAGCCGGCATCATGAGCATTAACCCAGCAGTTCCGGAATCGGCGTCATATTCATGATATTTCGATATCGATGTTCGATGTCATATCCGCAAATCCCATGTTGAGCGATCATGAACGATTCATCACTGAGAGCCTAGGCTTCGGACTTCTAGCTCAGTTGGGAGCATATCTAGTAAAAACATCTGTAGCGGGCCGCATAAGGCAAGCTTGGACGGCCCGGACACGAGCATCGCAAATGTTGCAATGGCAAGTAGTTCAGTTACACACATATATACATAGATTAGACGTACGTGTAAATCAAACTGTCCATCATGAATCATATACTCACAAGCGGCGAGTTTAACCTGGTTCTGACCACCTTTAATAATGTTTCCACCGCGGAAATAACGCTCTCAGGCTCTGAGTACTTTCTCAGGACATCTAGCACCCAGTCTATTCGTTCATGAAGCGTCTCAAGTGCAAATCTGTCCAGCGGAATGTATTCAAGCGTCAACTCTGTAAGGTCTGGCAAGATTTCCACACAATCATCGTTGCCTGAGAGATACACGCTAGGGAATGCATCCCATGCGCCAGGGACGGGTGGCGATAATTTCGCCCTTGAGAACATATCATCGAGTGGAAGTTCCAAAACCTTTGAGACAGCCGTGATCCGCAGGAAAATACCGGCAAGGTAGAATGCGTGAGGGTTGCTGTCCGCGGCTTCCGCCATCAGACTGATGCACCTGTTTATGTGGTCGTCTAGGGAAAGGCGACTGCACCACGCAGGATTCTTTACAAGGGTAAAGAGGAGTTTCAAGTAACATCCATCACGTCCTTCATCGAACAAGACACCATGACTACCTTCCACGCTAGGGGAGATAGCGGTGAGGATGGCGGGGGAAAGCGCAAGTAGTTTCTCCCGTAAATTAGCATAGCCATCTGTATCTTCTATGGCGGCCAGTAGTGTTCTTCGCGTTTCGTATGTAGCACGCAAGGCAGCATAACGCAACCGGGCAGGCTGTTCCGGCCCCATAGACCACAAGAGAACTTCCAGATAAGCTGCCTCTCTTGTTCGACTTCCGAGACTCTTCATAGCACTAGATGCCAGGAGTGCATCCGCAAGAGTGTCCTCCACTTCATAACCCTCGAGCTCGCGCAGTTCGCAAATATAATCAATGAGCCACTCAAATTCATGGGAAGAACGAGTGTCGTGCGCCCAGGTAAACTCCCCATACCAATACAGGAATGAGTCGTCTGGCTGGTAGACGTATCCGAGAGGGCCTTGAGGGATGCAGATAGCTGTGTGCAGCGCAGCTCCTGCTTCGAACAAGCGTCTCTGCATATCTTCTGAGTCCTCAGTTTCGTTGTCAGATATCGCGGAGCATCCGAGGAAGATTTCTTTGCAGCAAGCAAGGCCCGCTCGGAAAAACGAGCCGTCAAGGGGAACTGCCCCTGTCAGCTCAATGATGCGAAGGGCATGTGGGAGACATTTCTTGGCTCTAGAAGCGTAGTGTTGCGGATGTGCTCCATCAACGCAACCTTGTAGGCATACGAGGAGTTTAGTAACAAGTACATCGATAGCAGCACTTCGGTCACTGTCAGATAGGCGACCTTACGGAAATAGAACAATTGCCATACCTTTTGTCTACCTTCACAAGTACCGTTTTGTCGACGTTTAGCCCGAGTAATATGCCAGCAAGAAGTGTACAATTAGCGAGCACCTGAGCTGACGGGGCTTTATTCGGTATGTTGGCTTCAAGGAGCATCGAGATGATACTCAATGCTAGATCCTCCATCTGCGCGAGCTCGTCGATGTCTTTATGAAGGAGGAAAACATATGGAAGGACTTGGGAGAGCCACAACAAGGTAGCGTCAGACGCTGAAGAGAATGTTGGCGTATCCCGAAGAATCGATAGGTGTAATCAGCTATCCACTTCTGTCCAAGGTTGATCTTCAATGCATAATCAGCATCCAGCGATTCTTGGCTGAGGAGGTGCCAGAAATGAAGATATCTAGGCTGAGAAGGCCACTGCGCAGCAGAATAATACTCCCCGTCCAGTCGAAGGTATTCCCTTCCACTGAGATGGACGAGAGCTGTTGCGCAAGCTAGAGCTCGTTCTTTCGCTGGCGCTAACAGCCGATCTTTAGTGTCGAAACAGCTTCCAAGGCTGCGATGCAGAAGAGAAATTATACCGGAAACATCAAAATCGAATGGCCATTCAACTTCGGGGACCAGCTGGCAAGCTGCAATGAATACATTGGGATCCGTGGACGTTTCGAGCAACCATTTTACGGAGGGAGCATCCGAAGATGCGACGGAGACAGCTGGAAATTCGTACGACAGAGAAATTGAGGGAAGGTACGACTCCGTTGCTTCAAAGGGAAGTTTGCCAAACTCGAGATCGCAGATTACGGGAGCACGGGTCTGCGAGGATCGCAGAGCTCGTATGTAACGTAAACAAGAACTGGTAACCGTTCGAAGAGCAGACAGCATGCTTCTGGCACTAGCAAATCCTGCGAGAAGCAACTCTCCGAGCGCCACGCCTAATCCAATGCATCGCGGCACATATCGCAAATGGTATAGATCATGGAACTGAACCATGCGAATTACTATGAGTTGACAAGTAAGTCTGATGACGACAGACACAGGCGTCTGAAAGGGACAATCCGAGGACATGAGGGACGCGAAGACGGTGAATCCATAAAGCATAACGCCAAACAATGTGATGCAGATGATGACATATGCGATTGTCTGTTGCTGAGACCACAAGTTGATGCTGAGGGAGGCGCCGAAAAGAAACAGCGAAACCTGCAACAACGCCGGGAATGACTGAACCACAGCGTCAAAGTACCACGTCCTTAGTGCTTCCATCTTCTGTTGCCGTCTCCTTCCACGTTCCTCCATGGAACCATGACCGTATCTGTTGGACTTGTAATAGCCTAACCACTGTTTGCCCAGGATGGCACCAAAGGCAGCAAAGAGGCTAAGTAAAAGACTGGCGTAGGCTAGGCTTTGAGCCCAAACATTACTAGACGAGTACCCTGCTGGTTGCGGAAGCGTAATGCTTTGGGGAGCCGAAGTACCATTTGCCGCAAGTAATATGAGTTGGATCAGCAGTGCATTGGTGGTGTCTCCTGGATTAGGTTGCGACGCAATTATGAAGGAGGTGGTGACAGCTGAGAAGAGACCCGCCTGAGAGATTGCATTTGGATGGTTCGCAAACTGTTCTGAGAAAGGAAACGCACGAAAGTAGGGATGATATCGATATCACCATTGTACCGCTCCAGGAACTCGCTGTCGACCTCCCCTGCTACCACCTCGTATGTTTCCCAAAACTGTGACCGGACGTCCTTGTCCGCTTTTTCTAGTTCTGCGCGCTTAAGGACTTCGAGAATTTCGCTCTGTTTTTGGAGAAGGCTGCATTGGGAAATATTCAGTTTGCAACGGCTGACGAGGGAGCTACTCACGAGCTAAGGACCTCCGATTGCTTATCGTGCTCCATGACAGACGAGGTGCTCGTTCGGTGATAACCCAGATTGTCATCATTGGCAAGTCTAAAATTTCCACAGTAACCAGGAACGACATATCAGCACTGATTCAGCAGGAGAAGTATAACTGTCACCTGTGATCATGATGATCATGCAAGAGCGCGACGACGGCATCGATGGCTACTGTTTGGTGGACCACTCAAGAGGAGAAACGACTCGATTACTTACAGCTGTTACCTAGCATCCCAGATCCTCGAACCTGAAAGCGTGCGGCGGAACTCGGCCACTTTCCGGCCCGTCTGACGCCATATTCGGAGTTCGGAGCTTCCCCACAGTTGTCTCCGGTCCACGATGTCGTTCGTCGCACTCTCCCGCTCAACATTCCGCCATGCAAGCCGCAGCGCTCGTTTCTTCTCTACCAGTTTGCGTGTACAGCGCGAATACGCAAATGTCCTTGTCTCACGGCCCAGCCCAGGCGTGGCGCTCATCACTCTGAACAGACCCAAGGCACTCAATGCACTCAATGCGGCGCACTTTCAAGATATATCTGATGCGATGAAGGAGGCTGATGAGGATGCTAGTGTGGGTGCTATAATTCTCACTGGATCAGAACGCGCGTTTGCGGGTGTGTTTCTCAGTCAATCGGATCATGAACTCGATTAGACTTGTCTATGCACAGCTGGTGCGGACATCAAGGAAATGAAGGACAAGTCCTGTGAATATCTCTAGGACCTTAGTTATTGAACCCTTTCTGACAAACTTTCCCGAAGTCGCCGAAGCGTACACCGCCAACTTCCTCGCTGATTGGGAAGTTATCACTAAGCTTAAAAAGCCGGTTATTGCAGCCGTCAGCGGTTACGCCGTATGTTCTTGGACTCATTTGTCAATCATTACGTTTTCATTCGAATTCTTGCCTTTAGCTCGGAGGTGGCTTGGAGCTTGCATTGCAGGCTGATATTCTTCTCGCAGCGCCTTCAGCACAACTTGGACAACCAGAGGTCAATCTCGGAGTCATCCCTGGCGGCGGCGGGACCCAACGTCTCGCCCATCTCATCGGCAAATCGCGTGCCATGGAACTCGTCCTCACCGGACGTATAATTGGTGCAGACGAGGCAGAACGCTGGGGCATCGGACGGGTTGTACGCGAGGGCAGTGTCGTTGATGAGGCCGTAAAGGTAGCGAGCGATATTGCAAGCAAGGGACGCATCGCAGTGAATGCGGGCAAGGAGGCCGTGAAACGCAGCGTTTGAAATGAGCCTCGCTGAGGGACTGAGATTTGAGAAGCGGTTATTCCATGCTTTGTTTTCAACCAAGGATCAGAAGGAGGGTGGGCATATTTTCTGTGTTGTTTGACTAAACTTTGCACTGATTCCTCTCAATCTTGCTAGGCATGGCTGCTTTTGCTGAGAAACGAAGGGCAGAGTGGACGCACTCGTAAGGGTGTTCTGTATGAGGGAACCCCGGTCGTCAACATCCCTGTGTTTTCCTGTGTTGACTCTATCATCCAGGTTTGATTTTCGACATCAGAGCCTAAGTTTACATCACTAGACTATTACAAACGAGGTTAGGCAATGGTATTCTGATTGGTGATTGATCGGCCTTCAGCCAGATAACGATGTCCGCATCTATCCCAGCGGTTTGTGTCTAACGGTGTTAGCACTATGACGAATGTGGCACGATTCAAATCAACCTGCGCGACCAGGCAGTGGTCGCCTAATTTTGCAACGACGGACTCAGCCGACTGCGATATCTCCAATACCCCAACGTCCATTATGTGAGCAGAAGCCATCCATTCTATTCAAATGCTGCTGCGCTATCAAAAACGCTATCCAAGGAACAATCAATCGTAATGAGTGAACGAGTGGGATTCTAACCCAATTTGCTCATGTTAATATATCCTTTTATTGCAAAACAGGTTTGACTTCGTCAAGAATAGCCCCTCTTCGTTGGATATCGAAGGATGGGGCCTCGATGCGCCCGTCTTCCCCATAAACATCTTCGACAATGACACTTTATCTTTCCTTTCACTTCCAATATTCATCTCATGGCGGTCGTTCGTTCCTTAGATGTCAGAAAGTCAGATACCGATGTGGGCGAGCTCGAGGAGATATATCTAGTTCTGTCTTCAGTGTGAAAAGTCACAGATGTTACCGTGGAGTCGGGCTGTGGCATCAGTCAGCTTCTCGGGATGTCGTTCGGTCGGACATGATCTCAGACGGGATGCTGGTCACAGAGTAGAACACAGATAAGTATTATTCCACTGTACATGATATCGCATTCAAGTTATATCTGAAATCTCCACGGTAGAACATTTACTGGAATAGGATCATGGTCTGCAAGTGTCGATTAGGAAGTGCAAGGGGAAAGGCTTTGAAGAGACTCACTCCTCTTGGCACTTTCGTCAGTAGTTCGTAACGACTGAATACATAGCCTGCGTCCTACTCGTCGAAAATGTTCCTAGGGAGGTTGCAACAAACGATCATGTCATTGCCTTATCATGGGTGGATCTTGCTGCTGCTCAAGCGAGTCTCACTGTTTGCTCTCAGCGCTTTTGAGTGGAACAAGGACCTGCATACCCTCCTGTTTCTCCTTTCTGTCTTGTCCTAAACTTTATTCGCAGTCTCCATATCCCTACCTCCCGTCTAATCCTACAACTCAGCACATCCTTCATCGCGCCAATCACGCAGAACAGTTGAGAAGTCCAATCTATCAGACTTGAGGGGTGGCTCATCTTCTCAACAGGATGCATGCTCCAGGCAGACAATCGATTAGGGGGTCGTGGAGGTAACTGGCGGACAGTCATGAAACTTACCTGTACGACATTCCAATGGCTATCGTACTTGCCGGTCAGTATGAGCGCACGCTTTTCATTGTACGGTCAAGCTGGTTATGATGGTGAGAAACACCATGATCACGTTTTGAAAGACTATGGACTGCATAGCTAACATGCCTGTTTGCCTTTCTGCTCGAGCATGCAGCCTCTTCATAGATGGACGCTTTGACCTAACTACTCAGGCGGACCTTCGATCGAACGATACCCTTGATGCGAACCGAGATCTTTCACATGATAATTGTGCTGCATCCAAAATATTCACTACGCGGTTCACATTTCGAAATGATCTGGGAAACGGAGAGGCACGTCCATCCACTGTCACAACGACTTACTGAGCTCGCTTTTCCTCCACTAGTTGGTCCGTATTACTGTCGTTTGGAATAAATGAGTATCATCTTCGCGAATCACAACGGAGAAGTTCTAGTCAAAAAATAATAATTCAAAGCCCAAGTTCACAACAACGCTCCCCACTGCCCAGTAAACATCACGTTAATTGGCGTTCGTTTTTTGATCTCTCATTTCCCTCATCTTCTTGCAAATGGTACGAAAGCGGGCTTCCGAAGCTGCTGTGGATGATGTGCCATCAAGGCGAAGAATCTTGTTCCACTTCGGCGGCTTATCAGAGAGTTGTTCGCCAGGAGGTCGATAGCTCGGATCATCGCTTGACAGAGAATCCATAATGGCTTCGACGTTATCGCGATGAATTGTGGCACCGCTCCAATAAGGACCTACAATATGATGATGATGCAAGGTCAAGGTATGTAATTCAGATATATGGTGTGGATTACTTACCTGCTGCGGCGATGGCCATGACAGAATCTTTGGTTTTATCTTGGAGAAAAATATATCCTGCTTGTACCATCAAATCGGACCTAGCCTCCTGAATATACCCCTTAATCTCCGCATCCAGCTCGTTCTTTATCAGACTCCTGCTCGCAAATCTTTTCACTTCCACGAGAAGGCAAGTGTTTGCTGCCGTTATCCGCCACCCTCCATAACGAAGCCTTTCCTCTGACCGAGGCACTGCTGTCAGACTAACAACCGCAAAATCCACCAGAACGCTCCTAGCATCCTTTTCCGGGACGGTTGGTGCAAAAGAAATGTCCCCGACCTCCGAGTCAGGCTCATGGTCTCCGACATCTTCTTTGATGTCATCACCTGGGACTTGCATACCGCATGCAACAGCCTGATCTCCCTCGAGCGTCTGTTTGATCTCCTCTACCTCTGCAGGATCGTCACCATCATCTGCACCTTCGAGTCGGTCGTTGTGCTCTACGATCCAAACTGGAAATTGAGGCGCTATGATCAAATTTGGCTCATCTGCCACAAGATTGAAGAGTGTCTGGCACCACAGTGGGTACCAATAAAACTCCATATTGCGGGAATTGAATGTGCGAGAGAATGCATAGGACGTCTCCAAGCGAGTTTTGCACGGCAATGATTGATCAGGGCCATTGTGAATGGGTGGTGGTATGAGATGCGGCGAATGACAGCGACCAATATGAATTAATATACGTCGTATGGACTCCAATGTCTTGCGGAAAATTTTACTTCATTGTGCAGTATTTACAGTGAACAATAAATTTTGACCTTGCTCAAGTCTCTCATCATTCTCGCGGTTCGGACAAATCATGACGTGGCAAGTAATCCCAAGAGAGGAAACAAAAAGATTAGTCCTTTCAACGTTGAACTAGATGGATAAAAGAGGAACACAATACGCTGCACGGTGATTATGCATCAGTTCAATCCAGTCAATTTGCAATGACTGGGCCACAGTCTCCCATATGGAGGCACGTGCCTTGTCACATGACACTTAATATAAAAGGGCTGCCACACCGTTGGGTCGAAAACAAACATCATCATAGACCCAAGGTCAGAGCGTATACTTGCATCAGAACTGTCTGTATTCTATATTCTAACGCTTCTTCAATCATAGTCATGGTAAAATACTTCGGATATCTGATAACTGAGGGCTGGTTGCACCAAAAAGCCCTTGATCTGGGCTATCCGCCCGCTCAGACACCAGAAGACTCGCATAATCTCCTTTGCATGGTTCCCTTGAATGTTATGGCAGCGGCGGGTGTTCTCTCCTACGCCAGAGTCCGTCGAATAAAAACTCCCAAGGGCAAACATTTCTGGTGCATTGCCCTCGCCTGTGACGATCCTATTACTGTTGGAGAACGGATGTCAACCCACGCGCCGCCAGAGGCAAATTATAAGGCTTTGAAGGAGGCGATGGGGAAGGATGGCCCGGCTCACTGGTATCGAGCTAGATGAAATGAAATGTCAGTGAACTTTCCGCATCGCTACTTGAAGCAACTAATGTTCATTTTTCTTAGAGAAAAATACGCAAGTCTCGTCGCATTGTCACGTATATCGCCACATGCCATCGAAGTCATCGAATCATAGGATCTAATGATGTATGATTATCTTACTTCCGTTGTCCGCGTATTTACATATTGGGCTAAGGAAGAGCCAGGATGCCACAAATTCTGTATTAGCTCCCTATCATTGACCATTAGGAGGTTTGCTGTCATGTTCGTCTCATATTATTGTGTTGACAAATTTATTTAACAACGGAGGGAACGGACAGTTTGGGGACTCGATGTGCGGTTTCATGATACACTTTTGATGTGCTTGCCGCTATGAGGGCTGTGAATGAGGTCCCTTTCAATTCCCAGGGAGGTGGAGGACATAGCCCGAAACCTCAAACGTTTGAACGTTCACTTGAACTCTGATAGCACGACTCAGTATGATCAGGATTCAGGACTGCAGAAAAGCCGTCAGGGGAGTTCACGATGAGTTGTTCCAAAATCGGCATCATATTCATGCTTCATAGATCGCTCAATGTATCACTCAAGTTATGGTGTACCGTTTCAGCTCCGTCGAATGTTAGGCAATGGAGAAATGGTCGGTAAGCCTGAATCATCATGTCTCCTTAATGTATATCTACTAGTCATAGATCTATCCTTCCCTCGCGTTCCTGGTGTCCAACCTTACCTTGCACTAAAGGCTGCTTTTGTGAATGCTTACCGAAATAAAGAGGGCGCACGTTTGATACAAGTGGTGCTACTCTGCTTCAGCTGTTACTGACAGAACCCTCGTTGTGTTCATTTATTGATCACGACACTAGTCGGTGCACAGATTCAGGCCAGGCACGTTTTTGCGAATAAATGGCCAGCAAGAGTATCTCTCATTTGAATGATGCTGTGGGACATTCACAGCCGGTTCAGCTGCACTTAACACCCTCGCGCGCGCCTGCCTGAAAGGTTATATTCACAAGGATCTTCAAGACATGGCTGCATTCTGTTTATTCCACGACCCCCTTGCATTGCGTCTGCAGGGCTATCCAGATCAAGAGTTCTCTATCGTTTAATCGCTTCGAGCCGCACGAAGGAGTGCGCAGCTGTCAACATCCATGAACTTTATGCTACTGCCCTCCGTCCGGAAGGAAATTACTTCTTTAGTATCGGTTTGAGCAACGCTGATAATGTGATCAGCGAATACGACAAACTTCTGACGGATGCATCTGATGATGGCATCCAATTTCGGCGAAGTGCTGCCCTTGGGACACAGAACTTGGTCGTGAATCTGTTTCTTTATGCTCCAAGGGTGGCCAGTTTGCAAATATTGGTTGGCCCTTTCAATCTAAACCCGCTGCCATCGCTTGACCAAAACTCATGAAGTTGACAAGGCCATCATTCTATACGAAGAGATACCACGCCAACGCCATGTTGGGCACAAATGTCGCGCTGTATAATTGAACACCCACTTTCGATTAGTGACCTCAGCAAAGCTGTCATCCTCAATAGTATATGTCAATATGTGTTGTCACGCGTCAGCTGGCAGTGAGTACTATGGGGGGCGCAAGTCTTCGGAAGTGTCCCCTGAATCGCCTCGTCATGGAGGTGGTCCTCCAATTCCTTGTCCGTGCAGAGCAATCCGGGCGAATTCAGAGCATTGTCTTCGGGTGATGCCCAAAGGTATCATGATCTATTTGCTATGTACAAACCAAGTTGTACATATGGAGGATACGAGTCTGATTATGATAATCAATCATAGATGATAACACGAAATAATCTAAAGGATGGTCATTGCCTATCGATAAAATAAGGGCCGTCCACGTACGTGTCACAACATAAGTGATAGTAGAACCAATATATCCGAGGCACGTTGACAAGACGCGCTAGCAGCAGATATAGGACTTCCTGCCTCCATGTTCGCCAGGGTCAGTATGTACTGCTACTGCTTGCTGGTGTGGTTGCTGTTGCTGTTGCTGTTGCGTATCAGGATCTGGTTCAGCAGTATCGAGATATTCATCAGGTACGATGTCCGGGTTCTTGCCAGGAGCACCCGCAGCAACATTACGCTGTAGGTCTATGCATTAGAAACCTAAGATATAGCAATAAAAATCGACCCGACGCACCTCTTTAGCCTTTGCGAATGGAACTTCGACAACAGGCGGCGATGCATGAGGGGGAGGCTGGGTGAACAGGTGTCGTAGGTGAGTTTTGAAGGTGGTGATGATGTCGACTTGTGGTGAGGTGGTGGGTGGTGCAGGTGCAGGTGCAGAAGCTGATTGAGGCCACCTCGTCATAGCAAGCCTGAGTCTTTTGAGGCGCCCAGGACGCTGTTGAAGTCGTGGCTGGGGAATTTGAGAAAGCTATAATGAACGATGTGAGAGAGAAAAGAAAATCCGCTCTTGCACGCACTTGATGCAATCCGTGGAAAAAATTAGGTTCTGCATCGTAGCCATCCTCATATTGGCCCGGAATCTCCGCCTGCATAACGTTCAGTAGCAAAAGAGGCAAGAAAGGAGGTACATACACCAAGAATACGGTCATCTTGCGCAGCAAGTGCATTACATTGCTCCATGAAGTCTAAGTGAAATGCGAGTAAATATGATGCCCTCGGGTGTCATCAGTAAAGACTTGCCATTGGACCAATCGAGACAGCTGGCCTTCGCAGTTTCGTCGATGGCGTCCATCATGTATTTGTGTGCGTTAAGGGCTTCATCGGGTTTACCTCCCGAGAGGAATGCCTGACACCGTTTCTGGTGTGTAGTGAGCAACAATGACTCGAGGTCCCAGCCAAAGAGCTGGAAAAAGTGCTAGGTCATGACAATCATATACATGCATCATTTTGACGCACCACGGTCAAGTCCTCGTATATCAAGTGAATGCTTTTCGATGAGAAAACCCTTGAGTTGACAGCGGTAGTGAAGTGATCAGCAGCTTCGTCGTGACGCGCACCATCCAAGGCTTTGATTCCGAGGTGAACGCGTAAATATGTCTAATGGGTGAGCGACAAAGATCAGCTTTGATGACCGAACGTAGCCCATGATACTTACTTCCACAACACGACGTGCGAGAGGATCGACATTCGGACAGGCGACAGCAAGTTCTTTGATCAGCAGTATTGCTTCCTCATGTTGATCTGCATTAAAGAGTGCAATGGCCTGAAATACGGAGTGAAGCAAGGTGCATGCGAAATGAATTAAATTTACCTTGATCAAGAGAAGAAAATGATTGATTTCTGAATCTTGGTTCGTGAACATCGATGCGACATCAAATGCTATTCTTGCTTCCCAGAAGTGACCTTTTCCGCAGAGGGCAATGCCTTTAGAGATGTAGCCTATCAACGAGGGCCGAATGCTGATAGACTATGTTGCGGATGAAAGTTAGCCATGTGGGTCATGATGGGTCAGTCCATCTCACCTTGATGGCATCATTAAGGGCGAGGTCCCAGACGTGTTTTCGGGCTAGAACAAATGAACGATGGGCATAGGAAGCATAGTCGTTGGCATCGGTGTAGATCTCTTGCGCGAGTAGCTCTTCAGCGGTAGACAAGTCTCCGGTAACACATGCATCACGGGTCGTCGTGATGTCCAGGATCTGCATGAAAGTGCTCGAATTGCATTATGAGAGCCAAGGACGGAAACTCGCCTTTGAAGGTACTTCCCACTCTGAGATCTTGTTGTCATAACCTCCGCTGAGGACGTACTTGCCATCCACAGAGAACTTGACACACGTCAAACTGGATGAATGCTGAAAGATGGCAATGGTTCGTCGATCTGAGAGCCGCCAGAGACGAACATGCTTGTCATCAGATGCAGAAGCGACAAGGGTGCCAGCGGGATGGATGGCAATGGCGTTGATGGCATTAGTGTGGCCTTGGTAGGGTTGACCGACCTGCTGCCAGGTTAATGCGTCCTACTCTTGTATGGTAGGAATGCCTGCTAAAGAAGGCGTGTGCCATAGGGAGTCCACGCGAGTGACCAGCTGGATGGATCCTCCAAATATGCGACATGTTCCCTTGTGCCTGGATCATAAATTTGGATATTTTTTTCCGTCGCGATGGCAAGAAGTTCACCAGAAGGCGAATATCGAACGCAGCAGACATAACCACTGCACTGGATCATTGGTTCCCCTTGCATCTACCACGTGTTGGTACACCAAAACTTACGGTGTAGTCGTATGAACCAGTGGCCAGCGCTGTACCATCCGGAGAGAAATCCACCGAGGTGATAATATAGGAGTGGGCTTTGATGAGTTGACCGATGGATTCACCTGGCACCAGTTTCACCGTGCCAGGTGATGATTTCTCCATTTCTATCACCGCTTGCTATTATTTGCCCATCCGATGATATTGCCAATGCCAGTACCTCCCTGCTATGCCCCTCCATCTTCTTCAACACAACACCTGTCTGCAAGTCCCAAAGATTAAGTGTCTTGTCGTCCGAGCCCGTTATCATTCGTCGCTTATGAGGGAACACTGCAACTGCGTTTACAGTCTCCTCATGGTCTTCAAAATTTCGAAGGGGTATGGTGCTTGGAATGAGCTGCGACATTTCACTGAAGGTTGATGGTATTGAGTACGGTCGAGGAATTGTGGGCGTCTTTCTCTATATGTGGATTTTTGCTTCACTTCGTTTCCGGGCCATAGACGCCCAAGACACGAGACAGTTCACCATCACCATTCCAGCAAGAATGCCGCGGCTCCCTACGAGTCCCACCTTCCTCAACAGTACTGTCCACGCGCGTCTGACTGATGAAGAATACGATGCACCACTTGCCACTGGCCCACAGGCAGGTACAAATGCTGCACGTGCCTTGTCACATGACACTCCATATAAAAATACCCGAAGTTGAAATCAAACACTGTTATGGATATCATACAAGGTGAGAGCACACAGCTGTCGGAACTGTCTGTATTCTAATGCTTCTTCATGCATAACAGTCATGGTAAAATACTATGGATATTTGGTGAGCGATAGCTGGCTACACCAACGAGCCCTTGATGTGGGCTATCCACCCGCCAAGACACCCGAAGACTCGGATGATATCATCAGCCTTGCGTCGATAGATGTCATGGCAGCGACGGGCGTTCTCTCCTACGCCAGAGTTCGTCGAATAAAGACTCCCAAGGGCAAATATTTCTGATGCATTGCCCTCGCCTGTGACGATCCTATTACTGTTGGAGAACGAATGTCAACCCGCCCGCCGCCGGAGGCAAAATATAAGGCTTTGAAGGAGGCGCTGGGAAAGGATGGACCGCCTCACTGGTATCGAGCTATTTGAAACGAAACGTCGGTGAGCTTTCCACATTACCAAGGGACGCGACAGATGTTTATCTCTCTTAGGGAAACCATCAAAGTCTCATTGTATTGCCACCTATACAGTTACTACATACTGCTCAGGCTTTCGAATTCCGAGACATGGGGGTATATTAGCGCATATGATTATTATTTTCTTTCCATTATTCGTGTGTACCTATATTAGTCTGACTTGGAGGAAGGGCCAGGATGCCGAGGATCCTTTATAAGCTTCCCCCTGTGGTCAGTTCCTACTATATCTTGTTGTATCGAGAAAATCATCAAGGAATGCCACGAATTGACGAATTGACGCTGTCCAATATCCGAGTCCATTCACTCTGTGCTGTCACATCGAAAGCTCGAAACTCTACCGAGTGCATGCAGACTTACTAAGTGACACCATAAGCATCAGTTACTGGCATCTACTGGCATTGGAAACCTGCGAGAGAGCCTAGTAAACGACTGAGAGGTTCGTTAGACACTCGTTAATGTCGATCTCTCAAATCGTCCGTTCTGGATTTGTCGTGGCCTGGGAGTTGCTCCCGCGTGTAGGGGTTAAATTATCCGCTTTCGGATAATTGCGTTTTCAAACTTTTCAACGCACTCCCGCGATTCAACCATATGGCATCGGCCCTGCATCAGCTTCTTGGTCCTTGGAGCTCAGAGGTCACCTCATCGTACAACAGATTCAAGGTAAGAGCATGGAGTTGCAACGGAACTGTCTGTATTCTATATTCTGACGCTTCCTCAATCACAGTCATGGTAAAGTACTTCGGATATCTGATAACTGAGGGCTGGTTGCACCAAAAAGCCCTCGATCTGGGCTATCCGCCCGCTCAGACACCAGAAGGCTCGTATAACATCCGTAGCGCTGTTCCGAGGAATGTTATGGCAGCGGCGGGCGTTCTCTCCTACGCCAGAGTTCGTCGAATAAAAACTCCCAAGGGCAAACATTTCCTGTGCATTGCCCTCGCCTGTGACGATCCTATTACTGTTGGAGAACGGATGTCAACCCACGCGCCGCCAGAGGCAAATTATAAGGCTTTGAAGGAGGCGATGGGGAAGGATGGCCCGGCTCACTGGTATCGAGCTAGATGAAATGAAATGTCAGCGAACTTTCCGCATCACCACGATTAAGCAACTAATGTTCATTTTTCTTAGAGAAAACTACACAAGTCTTGTCGCATTGTCACGTATATCGCCACATACTATCGAAGTCATCGAATCACAAGATGTAATGATATATGATTACTTCCGTTGCCCGCATATTTACATATTGGTCTAAGGAAGAGCCAGGATGCCGCAGATTCTGTATCAGCTCCCTATCATCGACCGTTGGGAGGTTCTACTGCTATGATCGTCTCATCATTGTCTTGACAAATTCATTTAAGAACAGCGGAAATGGACGGTTTTGGGACTCGACGTGTGGTTCTATGATACAGTTTCGATGTGCTTGCCGTTATGAGGGCTGTGAATGAGGTCCCTTTCAATTGTCAGGGAGGTGGAGGACAACTATTAGCCCGAAACCTTGAACGTTCACTTGAAGTCCGATAGCACGACAGCAAGGCCGTCAGGGGAGTACACGATGAGTCTAGGATCCAAGCTTTGACCAAGGATGTGCTAAATAGCTAGCAGGCCGCATCATCATCGTTGTGTATGTCTCACTCGCGTTAATTTAAGACCTTCTCACTCACAATCAGAACGCGACGCCTCCCACCCAAGCACTCTTCTCATTAAGTCCAGACAACAACTCAAGGGCTTGTCTTGATTTACTTTCATTTCCTCAGTCTCGACGCACGCCAGCAAACGATATTATCCACCGCGACTGCTCCCACTATACCTTACTCATCATTCACGTTCACTGGCATTCCCGGACTCCACCTGCCCGCTCACCATGGCGATCACAATGCCCCAGTAATCATTAATGTTAATCATTCTTCGGAAATGATAAAACTGTCAGCCATCACCTCAAACTAGTGTTCGACGTGAGTTGTTCTCATTCAATGTGCTAGTAATATGCTCACCCTCAAAGCGTCCGCAACTATGATATTCATTCAGTTCAGGCCCGAGGGCCGTGCAGATGATTGATCGGGAGACGATGATGAGGAAACAAAGAAACGCTGATCCTTCGAACGCGAGTATCTTCTTCAGCCCTGAGTATGTGATTGCATGCTAGCACCTGCAGAACACGAACCCCCTCGGGATCCAGCACCTCAATCTACTAACGACACGCTACTAAGAAACGACGCATGCATAGTTGGTCCATTAGAGAGGTTTACGCTGACGGCCCGGCGTATTCGGATTCTTGCAAGAGTCAAAGTCTCAAATAGAAGCTGAGAGTAAAGTCCGAGGAGCGAAGTGCAGAGCGGTTGGGGTATTAGTGAAACAAGTCTTCTGTCCAGAGAGAGATAATCCATCGACAATGCTTTCACGACGATGTGGCCTACTAGAACTTGTGCAATGAGTCATTGCTTTTCCACAGTCAAGTATGTGAACGCAGTTCACCCTCATTTTATCAGTTGCGAGTGCTGCGCATCACAATATAGGTTCCTTATATGCCCTCTAAACGTATATATTCATCTAGCTACAGGAGGTTTGATTGTATGAATATGCTCGTTGTAAAAATTCTGAAGGATATTCATTACCCATCGATAAAATGAGAGCTGTCCGCGTAAATGTCACAACGCAAGTGATAGTAGAACCAAAATGTCCGAGGGACATCGAAACGTGCTAACAGCAGACACAGGACTTCCCGCCTCCATGTTCGCCAGGGTCTATATGTACTGCTACTGCTTGCTGGTTTGGTTGCTGTCGCTGTTGCGTATCAGGGTCTGGTTCAACGGCGTCGAGATATTCATCAGGTACGATGTCTGGGTCCTTGCCAGGAGCACCCGCAGCAGCATTACGCTGTAGATATACGCATCAGACAACCAAGATACGCTGATAATAATCGACCTGACCCACCTCCTTAGCCTTCGCGAATGGAACATCGACAACGGGCGTCGTTGCACGATGGGGTGACCGGGTGAATAGGTGTCGTAGGTGAGTTTTGATGGTGGTAGTGACAGCGACTGGTGGTGAGGCGGTGGGTGGTGCAGGTGCAGGAGCTTCCTGAGGCCTCCTCGTCATAGCGAGCCTGAGCCTTTTGAGGCGCCCAGGGCGCTGTTGAAGTCTTGGCCTGGAAATCTGAGAATGCTGTGATGAATTATGAGCGAGAGAACAGAAAGATGTGCTGTTGCACGCACTTGATGCATTCCTTGGAAGAAATTGGGTTCTGCATCATAGCCATCTTGTTCTTGTCCCGGGATCTCCACCTGCATAATGATCAGTAGCGAAGGAGGTGAGGAAAAAGGTACATACACCAAAAATATCGTCATTGTGCGCAGCAAGCGTGCTGCAGTTCTCCTTGAACTCTGAGTGACACGCGGGTGAGCATGATAGTCTTGGGTGACATGACAGAAGACTTGCCGTTGGACCAATCGAGACAGCTGGCTTGCGCAATGTCGTCGATGGCATCCATCATGTATTTGTGTGCTTCGAGGGCTTCGTCGAGTTTACCTGCCGAAAGGAATGCCTGGCACCGTTTCTGGTGTGTAGTGAGCAACAAGGACTCGAGATCCCAGCCGAAGAGCTGCACAAAGTACTAGGTTATGAAAAGCATTATATTTGCATCACGTTGACGTACCACAGTCAAGTCCGGGTATACAAGATGAATGTATTTCAATGAGAAAGCGTCTGAGTTAACAGCGGCAGTGAAGTGATCAGCGGCTTCGTCGTGATGCGCGCCATCAAAAGCTTTGATCCCGAGTTGAACACGTAGATATGTCTATTGTGCGAGTTGCAAAGATCAGGGGGGGATGACCGAGTGTGGCCACATGACACTTACTTCCACGACACGACGCGGGAGAGGATCGACATTCGGACAAGCGGCGGCCAGGTCTTGGATGAGCAGCATTGCTTCCTCGTGTTGATCTGCGTTGAAGAGTGCGATGGCCTGGAATACTAGATGAGGCAGAGAGCATGAGAGACGAATTAAATGTACCTTGATCAAGAGAAGAAGTTGTTTGGTTTCTGAATCTTGATTCGTGAACATCGATGCAACGTCGAATGCTACCCTTGCTTCTCGGATGTGACCTTTTCCGCAGAGGGCGATGCCTTTTGAGATAAAGCCCATCAACGATGGCCTAATGTTGACTGACTATGTCACGGATGAAAGTTAGCCTTTCGCAAGAAGACAATGATGGATGGCTCCATCTCACCTTGACTGCATCCTCAAGGGCGTGGTCCAAGTTGTGCTTCCGGGCCATAACAAATGAACGATTGGCATATGAAGTAAAGTCGTCGGCTTTGGTGTGAATCTCTTGGGTGAGGAGATCTTCAGCGATAGACAAGTCCCCAGTCAGACATGCATCGCAGGCTGTTGTGATATCAAGGATCTGCACGAAGGATGCTCTAATTGCGTGATGAGGGTCAGAAATGGAAACTCACCTTTGAATGCTCTACTGCCCATTCTGAGATCTTATTGTCTTCACCCCGCTGAGGATGTACTTGCCGTCCACAGAGAACGTGACACATCTCAGGATGGATGAATGCTGGAAGATGGCAATGGTTCGTTGATCTAAGAGTCGCCAGAGACGGACATGCCTGTCACGAGATGCAGAAGCGACGAGGGTGCCACCGGGATGAATAGCAATGGCGTTGATATAATCAGTGTGGCCTTCCCAGGGATGACCGACTTGCTGCCAGGTTGATGTGTCCCACTCCCATATATTGTCCTTAGTTTTGTAGCCTCCTGAGAGAAGGCGTGTGCCATCGGGCGTCCACGCGAGTGACATGTTCCATGATGTAGTTGTCAAATATGCGACACGTTCCTTTGTGCCTGGATTATAAATTTGGATATCTTCATTTGTTGCGATGGCAAGAAGTTCACCAGAAGGCGAATATCGAACGCAGTTGACAAAACTGCCACACTTGATTGGTTCTCCTTGCATCTGCCAAGTTTTGGTACACGAAAACTTCACCGTGTGGTCACTTGAACCAGTGGTCAGTACCATACCATCCGGGGAAAAATCAACCGAGGTGATGTCTGTGCGGTGGGCTTTGATGGATTGTACGATGGATTCGCCAGTTTCACCGTGCCAGGCGAAGACCTCTCCCGTTGTATCACCACTTGCTATTATTTGACCATCTCGGGACACCGCCAATGCCAGCACCCAACCCCTATACCCTTCCATCTTCTTCAACACAACACCTGTCTCCAAGTCCCAAAGACGAAGTGTCTTGTCGTATGAACCCGTAATCATTCGTCGTTTATCAGGGAACACTACATCTGCGATTATGTGCCCCTCATGATCTTCAAAAGTTCGAATGGGTGTGGGGCTTGGAATGATCTGTGACATTTTACTGGACCTTGATGGTGTTGAGCACGGCCGAGAAATTGTGGGCGTCTTTCAGAGGTGCGTGTATTGTGTGTTTTTATGTTACTTCACCACGCGCTAACCTTCTTCGTCTCCATAGACGCCCAAGACACCTTCGCCATCACCGTTTCAGCAAGAATGCTCGCAACCAGTAATAACCGACTGCACTGGCTACATACGTCCAATATTTGTCAAGCCTTACCGAGATATCAAGCGAGTATCACACCCCTCCAACAAACTTTCAGGCCCAAGTCTTATGTACGTCTCATGGCCGCTCACCTTACGGCTCACTGTAGACTAGTACAAAGTATCTGCATGTCTATGGTGCGTCTTGATTGTTGAACGTTGATCCCCGTCAGGAAGGGAGCGTTTCCAGTACTGTGCACCAAGAAGATCAAGCTTTTGTTGCTTTTGCCTGTGAATTCGTGCCCGAGAGCGACCATTATGCGCAACATAAATAGAAAATTGTAGCCAATGTGTGTGGGCCGCAAATACGGTAGTCTCGATTCTAGCATTCCGATCAGCATCAGTGGTCGCCCGCGCCCGGCCACCCCCATCTAACGAGCCGAGTCGCTCCGTCATGCAACGACTGTACTCGATCCTCGACACGACGATTCGTTGACGGGTATATGACAACCCAGCCATCAGTGAACTGGTGCAGAAACGAAAAAGGCATATATGACATTATATAGTACATAATCACAAGAACCTCCATAATTATGCTATCGAGGATCACATTGTCATGTTTGGCCATATAAAGGAAAGGATATTCCCTGATTTTCCTACAAAATTTTACGATCGGAAATAGATTCAAACATATCTCGAACTCAAGGTATAAGTGACGGTGGGACCAAAGCCGACAGTCAAACTAGATGGGTCAACAACGCCACATCAGAAGGAGGGACCACCGTGTCGAAGCTAAAAGCGAAGGTTAATAAGTTGTAAAGGATGAAGATGTGATCTCCCGAGGGGGAAACTATAAGTTTCGCGGCCTGCGTCGAGCCTCAGCACCCTCTTGTGAGATGCCTGACATCAGAAGGGAGGTCCACGGTCCCGAAGCTAAGAGCGAAGGTTAGTGACTTGCAGAGGACGAGGACATGATCTCCCGAGGGGACAACCGTAAGTTTCGCGACATACCTCGAACCTCAGCACCCTCTTGTGAGATGCCTGATATCGGAAGGGAGGTCCACGGTCCCGAAGCTAAGAGCGAAGGTTAGTGACTTGCAGAGGACGAGGACATGATCTCCCGAGGAGACAACCGTAAGTTTCGCGACATACCTCGAACCTCAGCACCCTCTTGTGAAATGCCTGATATCGGAAGGGAAGTCCACGGTCCTGAAGCTAAGAGCGAAGGTTAGTGACTTGCAGAGGACGAGGACATGATCTCCCGAGGAGACAACCGTAAGTTTCACGACCTGCCTCGAACCTCAGCACCCTCCTGTGAGATGCCTGATATCGGAAGGGAGGTCCACGGTCCCGAAGCTAAGAGCTAAGGTTAGCGAGTTGTAAAGGATGAAAACATGATCTCCCGAGGGGGAAACTATAAGTTTCGCGGCCTGCGTCGAGCCTCAGCACCCTCTTGTGAGATGCCTCACATCAGAAGGGAGGTCCACGGTCCCGAAGCTAAAAGCGAAGGTTAATAAGTTGTAAAGGATGAAGACGTGATCTCCCGAGGAGGAAACTATAAGTTTCGCGGCCTGCGTCGAGCCTCAGCACCCTCTTGTGAGATGCCTGACATCAGAAGGGAGGTCCACGGTCCCGAAGCTAAGAGCGAAGGTTAGTGACTTGCAGAGGACGAGGACATGATCTCCCGAGGAGACAACCGTAAGTTTCGCGACATACCTTGAACCTCAGCACCCTCTTGTGAGATGCCTGATATCGGAAGGGAGGTCCACGGTCCCGAAGCTAAGAGCGAAGGTTAGTGACTTGCAGAGGACGAGGACATGATCTCCCAAGGAGACAACCGTAAGTTTCGCGACATACCTCGAGCCTCAGCACCCTCTTGTGAGATGCCTCACATCAGAAGGGAGGTCCACGGTCCCGAAGCTAAGAGTGAAGGTTAGTGACTTGCAGAGGACGAGGACATGATCTCCCGAGGAGACAACCGTAAGTTTCGCGACATACCTCGAGCCTCAGCACCCTCTTGTGAGATGCCTGACATCAGAAGGGAGGTCCACGGTCCCGAAGCTAAGAGCGAAGGTTAGTGACTTGCAGAGGACGAGGACATGATCTCCCGAGGAGACAACCGTAAGTTTCGCGACATACCTCGAGCCTCAGCACCCTCTTGTGAGATGCCTGACATCAGAAGGGAGGTCCACGGTCCCGAAGCTAAGAGCGAAGGTTAGTGACTTGCAGAGTGTGAGGATTTGTTCTCCCGAGGGAGGCATAGTACGTTTCGTGACCTATTCCGGACTTCAACAGCATCTGCCGAAATGTCTGATTTCTCTCGATAGCATGTCGATTTCCATGGGATAACGAAGGCTAGTAGTCACTTGCAGGCGGCGAGAATGTGTTCTCCAGAGCGATTGACCATGAATCTAAGTCCCACTTCAATTGTCAACGTCAATTCTTCAGATGTACAAGAATGTTCCACCGTCAATCAGTTAGAAAAGCGTGTGAAGAAGATATGCCTTGTTGAAGTAAGCCAAATATGCTCACCAAGCCGACGACCAATCAACTTGTCACATGGTTCAATATGACATCAGCGGACATCAAATACAACATATCTTATCAGTCATTTTCGTCTTTTGAGTCCACATTTTCTGGGCAACGTTTGCGCAAGGACCACTAGAAAACACAGAACGCCGTGGTCACTTGATACTCCCTCCATTCAGCCAATTCAAAACACGCAGGCGGATCCGGAAAATGTCAGTTGAATCGTCTCCTGGGGATCATTCATATTTGTTGATGAGGTCTATCAGTCTTCCGTTATTGCTGGATAATGGTAACAGTGCGATATTGCTAGTTCCTTCAGGATGTCTCACAAGCCAAATATGAAGTGTGACAAATCATGTTATTATTCACGCCAAAGTACAAGAGTAAGGTAGCTTGGAAGCAACATTGTAGTATACGATATATGCCTAGTTTGAATCGAAACCAGTGTCATCGAGCTGTGCCCTCTGCCTTGCGAGGGCATTGACGGACATGTTGGCCTTCACCGTGTTGCTAAGATCCTCGCGGCGACTGCTTCCAAAAACCTTCCTAAACAACATAACATTACTCCGGGCTGATTGAAATTACTGTAAATACCGCACCTTGTCCACCACTCAAGGAGTTTATTGACTCTGCGTTGCGCTTCTTGACCAGGGGGCTTCTCAAAGAAGTCCACGATGGACCGCCAGAATTGAATATAGTCGAAGTCACCGTCAACGGACCGCCAAGAGGTAACTGAAGAAAGTGCAAATCGTACCTGCCAGTGTATTGGTCATTTACGGTGGATTGAAACACACTATCATGATGACTTACTTGACAGGCGACATATGCAATCGAGCGAGGTGTGACTTTATCCATCTTGATGATTTGCGCGACGTGTTTCTTGACTTTTATTCCGCAGGATGACTTTTTAGCGCATCGGTTGTTGGCGATGACATCTGCGCCGTCACCGTCGCCCTCGACGTCTTTTGCTGAAGACGGAGATGTGAATATAGCTTTGTAGCCCTGCAGACAACAGTGAGATTGGTTTCGGGCAACCGTGACTCGACTGCCACGAACCTGCAGTAAAATTTTGCCCTTAAAAAGACCTTCTTCTAAATTGTCCGCATTGGCGGTGTACTTTTCATACACAAAGGCTGGAAAAGAGAGGTCTGTCACAATATGGCCCTCGGATCGATCTCGAATCCCTGCCTTAACTCTAGTAAACAAGTTAGTGTCATGCAGGATACTGAGTACGCTACATATGCTGGGTTGTTCCAGTCAAGTTCAGCCGGACAGAGTAACCTCCCGCATGCGTCACTGGTGAATCCGCGGTAATTTTTATCGTCAGAATCAACGGGGGGATTCGGCTTGAGCTCGCGATTGACCCAGTCTGAAATAAGAGTCTTGAGCTTCGCTGTATCATCGCCTCGGGCACCGTCAGCCCCCTGCCTGAGCTAGATAAAGACTCAATATGATAAAGCCAAGCATTAGTCGGAAAAGCATGCACACCGCCTTTAACATACGCATATAATCATCATGATCTATGTCCGAAGAGGTCTTCAGAAACCACGGCAAGGTCCTCGTTAGAATACAGTACCCTGTAGACAAACGATCTTGGCTACATAAAACCAGTGAGGTTCACCGTAGAGAAAGGGGGAACAGCTTACTCGATAGTAGCATCCTCGTCGCCGTCGTCATCGTATCTCCTATCATTTTCATTGACAAGATCCTCGATACTGTCGAATAAAGCCACAATACGCCTGAGGCCTCGTCCTTGGGCCAAATAGTAATTTGACTGCCTAACAAACAGTGAATAAAGCAGACGCAATAGACACAAAACGAGGGCACGTACCTCTCTTTTACCACACGCCCCGACTCCAAGACCACGAGTTTACTCTCCAGTTCGGTGATCTTCCGTCTCTGTCGAGCCTCCGCAAACGATGACTGTACTTGGGATCCTAGTGGTTCAGAAGGCCGCCGAAGGCCGTTGCCGCTCTGCCGATCCTCAGTTTGAATGACTGACTCGGACATACTACCCTCAGCGTTATGAGACACGCTGCCCTCGGCGTGAGGTATGCTGTCCTCGGCGTACGACATGAAGAGGAAGATGGGAGACCAGAGAAGGTTTGCTGAAAAACACACAAGGAATAAGTGGAAGTGCGAGATGATGAACAGAAACTTAACTCAACCCCAGCCCTTTTATATGTTGGCCAACTACTCGGAACCATGAGTGCTCTACGTGGCAATTCAAGCAAAGTGGACAAATGTTACGGCCCTCGTATTCTAATGATAGATCTGGAAGTGGCTGTGAAGACGCAAATTGGACAAAAAAGGAAAATGTACCCGCTTAGTACGCCAAAGATCGGTAGGTGAATGGAAAAGTACAGATTCTGCACTAGTATACCTAGACGGCGGCAAAAAGGCACTAGTATTAGTGAGGTGATGACAGATGCTTATAGAACCTGGTGCAACTTACTACTACTAGTCGATGGAGACTCCTTCTTCGCTTTGTTTTTACAGACGCGGTACACTGTGATAAATTAGTAGTAGGAGTACTAATTCGCAGGAAGCTGCAGACACCAGAGCTGCCACATTGCACGACTTCTGAGTCCGGTGCGAACAAGAGTTGTGAATCGATATTATCACGGGCTGGATCCTTACTGGCAGGCATCAGGCCTCATAACTGGAATTTCCGAGTCAGTCCGAACAACCGTTTACCATACCGATGCTTACTTAGTAGTAGTAGTGGTCCGTTGGTGGTATTAGCGATGCACGGGGCACACCATGACAAGTCACTGCGTTGAGCCGTAGGTTAGTTGCAAGTTGAATAGGTCGCGATAGAAGCGGTAATTACAACTATGTCCCTATTATGATATTTACAAGATTGTCATTCGAATCGCGTCCAGGTGAGTCAGTTGCCGAATATTTGATTCCATCGCCAGGCAGTGAAGCAAGCTTTCTTTGGTTTGCTAAATCAACCTCTGAGCGAATAGGGTACCTATAGAAAGTTTTGAGGCTAAAATAACGCAAACATACAAAGATCCCGTACAGCTGTGTTGGCCTGATGCCATCCTCATACACGACTGGGCGCGAAAGACTGAAAAAAGCTTGAAAAGAAGCTTTATCCAACTTTCCAAAACACATCGCATTGAGCATGTCGACAAATTCTAAATTTATGTAGGCGAGTGAAGGCGGAATCACGAAGTATCGCTCACTTTGCTCTTTTTGCCGAAAAACTTGTGTTAGCACTATAGGCTGTTTTGATGCAACGACTCCAACTTTCCGCCTCAAATGCGAACGTGGATGGTATTTGAATTCCGTCCTTACCACGATCTGGCACTGGAGGAAGTTGGCAGAAGTCTCCTGAAAGTATCAACTAGCGGTTGCAAACACATCAGAAACCATAAGTTAAGAAGAAAGAGTTTGGATCGTACCTGTATTCCACCAAAAGGTTTGTCTAATCGCCTTACAATGTGAGCAATGGCATCCTATTGTTCAAAGGTAGTGTCAACAGCATGAGATTACAATGCTTCGGTAGCACCATACCAGTTTATCAAAGAGCTTTCCGTCAATCATGGATACTGTGTAATGACACGATCAACCTCCTCATAAGACAATAATAAAAAACCGTGTGCCGCGAACCTTCATCTATTATGAGAGTTTGAACGTTTTGCCACCGTTGCTTGACCCGTTCAAACTTAGGCTGACCAAGAAATTTACCCCCAAGCTTCTTTCCATCTTCTAGACCAAGCCCGATACCCGCCCATGAATGCACGGTAGTTCCGCCAGTGTTAACTGATGCTATTCCCGTTGAGGCCGTTATACCAAGACCTGAGTGGCCTCGCCCACCACGCGCTCGAATGATTTCCCGTAAGAGAACAGATTTACCGGTGCCTGGACAGAGTCATCAATGATGCAGGTAGGTCAGCTTGAATTACGCACCCGCAGACCCGGTGAAAAAACACATTCTCGCCGTGCTCAACCCTCCGAAGCACATTATCTTGCTCCTCTGAAAGAATGATACTCTCCGATGAAGGTCCAGGTGTGTGTGTCTCGATGGGAGTCTGATCGCGTCCTTCAAGGGTTGGTGGTTGCCTCTCTGCTTTTTCTTGAGTAGATCTTGCCACTCTCGGCTTAAAGGTCCATGACACGCTGGGTCCACTAGACGATATAGATTCCATACTAGAAGCTGGTAATATGACTTCCAAGACTTAGTAGCATCACCATTAGTCGTTGAATTACTCACTTGGTCCAGTTAACGCAAGCCACTCCTCAGCCTCAGTGTGAGACCGGAAGCTCTTGTGAACGGCACCGGGCCAACGTGAAACCTGTTGTCGTACTATAAATTTGCATCTATCAGTCATGTCTACTTTATGCTCACGTTTGCATTGCACTGAAACAGACATTAAGAAAGGGGACGCGTTTCGACTGAACCTAAGAGAAAACTCACCTCAGCCCAGGAGTCGTATATTCGTGGTCCTTCGCGACCAACCTAGGTAGGGGAAGAAGACCTGTTGGAAGGTATGTGACGCGCTTGTCCATGTGGCCAGTGTAATTGCACGTCGCGGCCTTCTCGTCGAGGTAGTCCGTGTACGTGTGACTAGATATCAATCGGTCAGTAACCTGCAACTAGATCCGAGTGAAATGAACACACTTGAAAGAAAAGAGACCAGCGTATTTGTTCACGAAGCCGACTGCAGGGATCTCCTCCTGCACCACGTCCCACGATATTGAAGCTGAGTTTCATGTATACGCACTTGGGAAGAGACAGAGCAAGTCAAGATGTTCACTAGGTGATCAGCAAGATCATGGACCGAGCTCGTCTTCGGCAACAGGAACGGGTATGAAGCCTCTTCTCTATTATGGATCCCTGTCCACATAATCTGGAGGCTTCGCTTTGTCTCCAGCTCCACAATGCTTACATCCAGCTTCTTGTAGAGAATGACAGTCATCGTTGACGACAAGACTCATCTATAACTGAAATGTTTGAGGCTTTTCAGTTGGCCTTGGGGTCAGGCCAAACCGACGGTGAATCAACAGAGCTGGACCAGCCTATCCTCCGTCCTTTGGGTGGAGCACCCTGTTGAAACGGAATTTTTCCAGGGCATCCCAGATGCACAGAACGAGGACGATGTTGCTACTCAACTCGTCGGCTTCTTGCAGCAGTTCCTTGAGGTCTTTTCGGAGCTCAAAGGCAACAAGCTGTATCTAACTGGTGAAAGTATAAATTCTCACAGAGTCCAGTAAGAGGCTTACCCCATTCTCTTGCAGCAAACCTTCGAGGGAGGAGCAGCCAGGGCCACCATTTGTCCTTCAGGTATAAGATATCTGGTCAGCAACGGACGTCACATCACTTCTGATGACCCACCAAAAGATTACATAATCAAGACTCCCTTCGGGGCCGGGAGGAAAAAACCAAAAATAGAGCTAATGTCCTTAATTTCAGCAAAGGACGCGCATAGTAGGCCACCCATGTACTCATTTGACGAGTCTCGTTAGGGCTGTTGCTGATAGGTAGAAGACCTGCCCAGCTAGGACCGATGTCGAAATCAACAAGAGGAAGGGATGTGCCTGGGCGCTGTGGCTCGCGAGTCGGATTTTGAAAAAGAAAGTCAGCGAGTCTGAGTGGCGCCGGCCGCTTGAAGGCAAACATACTAACTCAGCTCCGCTTGCCACTACGATACAGCCTCGACGAGCGCTAGTACCAGCAAATATCAAGTGCTACTACATACCATGGAGCAAAACGGTTTTTTCAACCTACATAACGATCAGTACAATCCTCAAGTGCAAGGGTCAGCGGTAGGTATCTTATTGAAGGTCCACCTAGTAGCTTGCCTGATCGTATCGGACTCACCCACCAGCAACTGGATCATATCGTCCCAGAACCGTTGATCGTCCCAGAACTGTTAAACGTCCCAGAATCGTTGAACATCCCAGGACCGTTAATTATCAGCGACTCAGCGATCGTATGTGGCACCTACTACTGTAGATACCATTCCAATACTAACAGATTTTAGGCGATATGGAACAGCACAACGCAAACGGCTCAGGACCGAATTCAGAATCACCGTTCGGCGTTGCAGCGTGAGCCGATTACAATGACAGATGAAGACAAGTGTTGGCTGACCTTGATGGCGTTACGGAGGGAACAGGAGTTGGAGGAAACCATGAGATATGTCGATAATTCCTGGCGGGAGTTGAACGAGATCAGGAGACTGTTGGGAATAAGGAGGAATTAGTAGATTGTCACGGTGGATGAGTGGATGACGGACACTCCTATGTTTTTCAAACGTTGCTGCTTACGATGAACCATTTCTGGCTGCGGTTGCGGTTGCGGCCTGGGCGGGTGGTGGTGGGGTATGTTTCATCTTCGTCTTCAGGCTCCGTTTCGCAGATATCATCTATTAAAAATAAGCTTAAGAACATTGCTCAGCGAACCAAAGTGCTGGGTTTTGGTCCCCACGGGTTTTTCCATGCAAAGGTCTTGTGGGGGGTCGTACGGCATTAGTTGTGCTGGATTGGCGTTTGTGTGCTGCTGGGGCAACTGAGCTTGCGGCTGCGGCTGGGGTGGTGGCTGGGCGGGGAAAGGCTGCTGCATAATGGATTGTGGTATTATTCCTTGCGTGTGTCCATCTCCTGGAAACAAGAACCCACCCCCGCCAAGAGCAGCTATCAGTTTCTGCATCTGCACAGGCCTTGGCCAGAGGGATTATTCAGGCCTTGCTGTGATACCATACGGAACTACGACAGCCTGGATAGATGCAACTCGCGGAGGAAGAACCAAGCCTTGGTTGTCGCCGTGCACCTGTCGAGGTCAAGAGCGTGCGTGTGATCATCCAGGAAGAGAGTGAAATAACGCTTACTGTGAGGAGTGACAGTGGGGATTGGACCACAGACGTTGTAATTAACAAGGTCGGGAATGCGAGATGCACGTTCTGATCCGGACAGGTGAAAATTGCACGGGTGTTTTGCGATAACGCAAAATTCGCAATGGGATGACGGTATCACAGATTCGATGGTGACCCCCTTAGCGACACAAGCGAGGCGCATGACGGCGTCTTTGCCGAGGTAGCACAAGACATGTCGTCTGGAATTTCAGCGAAGGGCTCCTCTGCTTGGACAGCATGTTCTTGCGCAGAGCAGAATATCGGGAAGAACATAGATCGCATGGGGCGTCCCTAGTGAGAAATGAGGTGTAGTGTGAAAGAGAATCAGAGAAGACCTGCCTGAAGCTTCGCATTGCCATCATCTGCGCCCTATAGATGGCCAAAACCAGCACTATTTCCCGTACAAATTCTGAGTCCCAGATCTCCGACTATATCACACCCGGGCTGTTAGTATTCGACGACCTTGACAGTGTCCAGGGTGGTTCAGAAGGCAGAAGAAAAGGCAAACAGCGAGAGGTGCTGAAAGTAGATCCGTATACACCTGATGAATGTGCCGCTCTCGATTGGATGCGCAGCACGCTCGAAATGGACATGATCACGGTCAAGGGCTGGTTACCATCTACCACAGACGAAGAGAGGCTTGCGATAGAGATGTATCTTAGAGAGACAACAAAGCACATACGTACCACAACGTTTTTGAGCGCTGCCTCCAGGTTCCATACATAATTTTTTGTCTGGTCCAGCACTGGCATGCCGTTCCGGAGTGACAAGACTAGGGGAATCAATGAGATTTGTCAGATGGGCCGGCACATTATGAAACGACCTCACGTCAAAGACGGCCTGGATGAATGAGTTCTATTAGTTCCGAACAGCAAGGGTTAGTTATCACTTACAGTCAGTCAGACCGCAGCCTGTTGGCAACGATTTGACCTGTGAAATCTATCAGATCAGTGCGTTTGTCCTATCGTGCGACAAGTGTACCATGATGCGGTGCATTTCCTGCATTGGAGTCATAAGCATAAACAGGTTGAAAATAAAAAGTCCTCACGTCATCAACAATTATTCCGGCTTTCTTGTAGTCGACAGGGTATATAACTGTGTATGATGAAATCTAACGATGTTCTAAAGAGAAAGGATTATCCCTTTACCTTCATCAAGTCCATCAAGTTCGTCCCCGTCCATATCCGGAACCTGTCCTCTGTGACCCGAGTCTAGACGACAATGAGGATATTCGGAAATTATATCCGAAGGTTAGAAAAGATAACTTACAATGGAAAAATAACACATCATGAGGATGAGCGTCATTCACAAGCCAACGCATCACATCGAGAATATTTTGCCTACAATACTGAGATAAACAATTAACTTGAGGACGTAGAAGGGAGGTACTTGCCAGCTCTGCAATGAGGTCAACCTCATCATCTCCACCATGCACCAGCTGCTCTGGAGAAAGACCATGATCATGCCCATTCCATTGGAAGATACACATGATCATACTGATGTCTTTACCAATTCTCCCATTGGTGAGAAAGGCTTGCCACTGGCACGGTGCTGTGGTGGTTGAGGTTGGGGATTGTTGTTCTGCCATATGACAGGTACAAAAGATGTGAACTAGAATGAAAATCAGCTCCCACTGTAACTCTGAGGGCACAGTCAACCATGATAATCAAAAGATGCACTACTATGGCAAACCTCAAGGACTAGTATGGAGAATGGCAGATTGTTATCAAGGTTTGGAGTCCAAATTTCAATCCGGAATCTTCCGATGCGGCACACTTGATAACGTGAGCAGCCGCATCTATAGGTATAACTCTGGTGTTGCCATGTAGTTTGCTGCCATCTCAAGAGCGACCAATGATAGTCAAGTCTGTTCTGGTGGGACAGCACTGACTCGTCGGAGTCGGAGCAGGGAGGTCACCCACGGTATTAGCCTGAGGTAAACATACTATGATTACTAATGAGTCACATGTACAGCAGCCGCTACAAGTACTACATACTACTAGTACAAAGCCGGAATCGGGGACTACAACTGCAGCTAAAAACTGAATATAAATAAAGGAGAAAATCGTATGAGAAATGGTCCCAATGGGCCCGCAGGAAACGAAAAAAAAAGCTATGGCATCTCAGTATTGTAAGTGATAGGACCGATTATCACCTTCCTGTGACTGACTAGGCACGGGAAGGGGCGGGTTATAGTTCTCTTGTCGCATCCCGAGTTGGTGCGTCGACCCCGCTACGTCAAACCTCATCTCGTGTCCGAGGTACTGCGAACTGGCAATGGGTTGTGAATAGTAGGAAGGGCCCGTGAGTGAGTTGTCCGTGTCTGCAAAGGGAGGCATTAACAGTGACTCGGAGCCTCCTGCGAAGGTGTGTGTTTGCGAGAAATGGGAAGGAATCTCCGAGTGTGGCTCAGCTCCTGCCGAGCGCACTGGCAATGGCGCGGGCGCAGTGGAAGATTGCGAGATAGGATGGTTCAACTTCGACCTGAACAAGTCAAGAGACTGAGACATTTCGGATGGTAATGAGGGTATATAGACGACTCTGGCAGCCTTGTTGTCTTGTAAGAACTTCGTCATTTCCTCCCTGTAAATGTATAACTAAGATGGTGTGCGCACATAGGCCGTAGAAATCACTTACATCCCTCTTAGGTGGAGCTTGCACAAACGACTCTTGAACTGCGTCCCGTGGACTGGATGTGCGGAGGTACGCTCCATGTCTCTTATGATATCAGAGTGCCAACTAGCGTACTTCTTCCTGCTGAAGCGGGCACTGCGTGGTTCGACTACTTTGTCAATTGCAACTCGCAGCTAAAAATGATACGAGACAGCGTGTTAGTAGTTAGGCACATGAGAATGGCGCATTACTCACCCCAACCGCTGACCATGACAACAGCATGACTGGAGTCGTGGTTAAACTGCGCCTGAAAGTCTCATCACAAAGCGGCGATTTAGTGTCCTTGTACCATTTTTGGATATGGCCCTCTATCAAATTTTCGTTGTCGAACATGAGAAGGTCGACGGTATCACCAGTGATCTTGTGACCGTGGAGGAAGTTTGTGAAGAGGCCTTCCTTCGTCGAATCAAAGAGTACTGACCGACGCTCTTTCATATATTCTTGGCGGGCAGAGGCGGACAACTGAGAATCGTCTGGCGGCTTGATATTGTACTGCAACGCAAAGGGCTTGAACGATTCGACAAGCTTGCTACGACATGACGAAAGCGATTGAATCAGACTGGTGGCCAAAGGATCTGTGAAAATGATATCTGGTTGTGAAATCAGTCACTGGTGATGCGGCGCACAGGCTCAGGATGCGAAATGACATACTGCAGTGATACTTCTGGTTAGCTTGGGCCACAACTTCTCTAAGATACATCTCTATCACAAGCCTCTCTTCGTCTGTGGTAGACGGTAACCAGCCCTTGACCGTGATCATGTCCATTTCGAGCTTGCTGCGCATCCAATCGAGAGCGGCACGTTCATCAGGTGTATGCGGCTCTACTTTCAGCACCTCTCGCTGTTTGCCTTTTCTTCTGCCTTCTGAACCGCCCTGGACACTGTCAAGGTCGTCGAATACTAACAGCCCGGGTGTGATATAGTCGGAGATCTGGGACTCAGAATTTGTACAGGAAATAGTGCTACCAGTAGCACTTTCACGAGGATAAGGATGGCCCGGGCGCCTGTGCATTGATCGTTCAGAAGGCGCCGCTCGCCGTCTTTCGACAACTGGCTGGTCCAGGTCGAAAGGAACCGAATAGGTGGACATGACTGCTGAGAGGAATGGGGAAATTTGACGGTGGACAATCAGTTAAATAGTCATCGAAAACCGTCATCACGATGCCACTACTCTGACCACGACCACTGTGACAGGAGTTAGTAAGGACCATGCAGACATATTAGAATACGCTCGCCAATCGTACTTTCACAATCAAGGGCCTCTGCATTACAATCCTCTCGTAGTGCATGGTGATCGGTCACGGTTCGCGGTAATGTGCTGGAATCCAATTTACCTGGCCGCTGCAGGACGCTGCATCAGTTAGACGAAATGAATATCGCACCGTACGAGTAATAGTATCGTCTTCCATCAACTTCGACATCAATCGGGTCCATCAGACTCGGTTTACCGTGTGACGCTATGATTGATCATGACTTGAACGGGGACAAAAAAACAATAAACAGATAAGGTTTATCGCATAGCGCAAAACATTCCGAGTCACTGGCAGGACATCGAATTACCAGGCCCAATATGTCCTGCCACCGTGACTCCAGCCTGAGGCTACGCCTTTAGTACTAGTAGTCAACGGTAATAGTAGTATGACACACTGATATGGCGGCAAGGCTCCAAGGGATAAATTCAACCAAAATTGTGATACCACCGCTCCTATAGTTGGAATGCCCGAGTTAAAATAGCAAACTTACCGTGACGTATCCCCAAGCGTATCCCCACTAGCGACATCTCTTCGAGTCATCCGAATCATGCACTTGTGCATTATTATTTGCACTGCCGCGATCATGATGAGGCGGCCATCACTGTGACTGGCCCGGGTAAGAGAACTTCTATCGTCTTCCACTGGCTCGGGGATGCGGCGGCCATACGATCATCTGTTTGGAACTTCCAAGTGAATGATCATAACCACGGTAGTAGTAGTAGTATTAGTACACCAGACGTGACGGTGACCTACCGTGATTAGTAGTAGTGGTCCAGACTGCGACGGGCGGCGACTGGACGCCTCCGAGTCCGGATTAGTACTACTACTTGAACTTCAAGAAGTCAAGCAAGGGGCCGCCGCTCTTCCAAGTCTTGAAAGCTTGAAGCTTGCGGTGGCCACTATCCGAGTCACTATCATCACCAATTTTTCGGTACATGAGGGCGATAGAGGTGCTTAGTAATATTATTTACCTGAGCTTATGCCAGTGAATGTACCTAGTAGACGGCGGCTTGAGTCATTCTTGCGATGACTTGGAGGTCAGTACTTAATCACGTAATCACCGACCTCCGAACTATTACCATAATAGTACCATGTGAGAATAAGTAGTCCTGTTGTATGATCAACAAGTGTCAAGAAGCCTTTTGTCATAGTAGGCTCTGAGACAACTCACAGTGCAGTGTTAGTATGTCGGTCATGATGAGTGGGTCTTCGAAATCTACAAGCAGTGGTTTTTTTTCTGCAACATCCAGTCTCACGCAGCCTAGGTTTGTCATCTGTTCGCTTTTCGCTTGATTTCCACTCACAGGCGGTATTTGTCCGCTCCAGGCAACCCCCGTCCACCGTGACACCTCCCACCTCTGTCGATCCGAGTAGCTCTCCTGTGAGGAGCAGCTCTCCCGTGTTGCAGGACAGCTTTGACCCAACGGTCACCGACTTGCATCATAGCCCGCCCGCCCTTGCCTGTGACAAGGGTACCAAGTCCGTCATAACCACGAAACCTAAGCGCCGTAAACGCTCTTATGTCAACTATACCTTGTCTCAAGGTGGCGACTGCGACGAGGATCTCGAAATACCCTCAAAGAGATTCAAGACATTGCAAACAACCGTGAGTCACAACCTTGTTTAAATCAACATTTGAAATCCGATTCTTTTAAGTGGAATTGCACCGACCAACCTTCCGAGACTTCAATATATTTCAACGAACGCATGCTTGAGCTTTCCCGTATCACTCGCCATGCTTTTTCCGCCAGAATACGATACCAACGCCTTCGTGAACATGAACTGGACCTGATAAAGTCCCTCCTGAATGATGAGAAAGAGCTAGTCCAAACACATATGCAAAAAATCGATCTGCAAATTGGCTCTCTCCGAAACACACTCGAGGATGCGGGAGTGACGGAGATAGGGAACAAAGGATGTAGGTTTGACCCTAGCGACCATGTGGATTGGTGTGAAAGTGATTCTTCTAAAGATGGATCGATTCTTTGTGAATCTGATGTTGGGGAGTCCGAGTCTGTCTCAGGCTGTACTTTAGATTGATATCAATGCTACCATTGTGCCGTACTACACCCTATCTGTCCATACGTTGTAGTACCATACAATATATCATACGCAGTACTAGTACTACATGCCACAGATATATTCTAATATATATAAGCACGATACGAGATATGATTCATCCTGCATAATATGTCTGAGAGTGCAGCTACGAAAATTTGGAGGAAAAAAGTACCATTGTTGAACATCAATTACTGCGCAATGAGTTCTTTGATTCAATTCTATCTCACCGTCCCAAGCGATCACTATCTATAACACATTAAATAAAGTGCAAGGTGAATCGCTTAGTGACTGACCTTGTGAGCGGCACATTGGAAAACAGATGTCAAGCTGCGAATAGCAACTGCGGTAAAGGCGGGGTTGAGAGCCTTGCGCTGCCTAACAAATGAGAAGAAATGACATGGATTTAGCTCAGCACCACTTGGAAGTCTCACTTCTTACCTTTTGTGACTTTCACCATCGGCCCACAATACTCCTCTTCCGATCTATTATTTGCATAAGCGCGCCGTTACCCTATAGCTGTACGACATACCGTTGTTCGAATGACGATCTTGCTGAACGGAGTTTGGTTATACAACCATGTGTCTCTTGCAAAGAAATGAGAGATTGCCTTTGGGTCCCATAATATAACCCTGGACCGTCCAAAGATATCCGGGACCTTATACACTGGACCATACTCCCTAGCCCAACGTTCGTACAGTTCAGTTGTAGCGGTGGAATTTAACAGTATCTTGGCGAATCCAAACACCCAGCCTGGGCTCTGAGGTCCTCGTATGGGTGTCCGAGTCGTTCGTTTTTTTCGGCGATAGACTTGCAGGAGATAGAGGGACGCCAGTATCACAACCGCGACAAGTGTCGTTGAGCCTGGTAGGGGTGAGATCAGGCAAAGGTCTTTGAAAGGTAAGCCAAATGTCCAGTCACAGGGTGGCAAAAGGGCAAGCCGTCAGTTAGCGCCCCGGCTGCATCTGCATCAGGGCCCATCAGTGAAGTTGGCAACGGTAAGTGTCTGCGGAATTTCTGCGGAACCAATATTAACAACCTGTGGTGTAATAAAATAGGATTTCCACCAAATGAAAGAAAAGAGCTGGTTAAACTGGTTCACCAGGCCCAGTCAACTGATGATATCGGACCGATCTAGTTTCACAGGGTCCAAACAGTCGGAGTATGATATCTGTGGCTGTGACGGCTGGCCCTGCCATCGACTCTCATGCTTCAAGCTATCTGAAAGACTTTGATTCTGGAGTTTGTCATCTTGCATGTGAGTGACTTGGACGTCCATATCGTGAGTCCTGGAAACGTTCAACCTCGAGGTGAGCAGAATGAGTACATATACCACTACGCGTTAGAGCACACCAAATTACTCACTCTCGCATTCGTCAGTACAAGTAATCTCATCTTGACATATATCATACATTACCAGGAACCACATACACATCAGTTTCCAGCATGTCTGAGCAGCTCCCCCCATATACTACACTTCTCCAGCCCGAGCCCGAAACATCGCAGTATACTCTCCCAGAGACCTTCAACATCGGACAATGCATCACCCAGCACCTCGTCCGCCCAGATCAGCTTAAGGCCCATCTTCAGTTGCTGGCAGCATTCAGCCACCTTGAGCAGCGGGTAGTTGCCAATGAGAGCCTTGCTGCGGGATTAGAGTCGGACAGCGAGAAACGTTGGGTATGGTTTGTTAATTTGGCTGTTGAACGGTGTGTGCCTCACTAGCGTTCTATGTGTGCTTGTACTGTTAGCTCACTGACTGATGGAGCGCAGGTTCGAGAGGTGGTGTCTGATGATTGAGCAATCTGATACAGTGGAGCAACATTTGCCTCCCATTGATGTTACCATGGTGTGGCATGCCTATCTTCTGAATCCGAGGCAAGCATGTCTTTAGTTCCTCATTAATGACAGACTTCATGCTTTTCGGTCTCATCTACAGCTGGTATGCGGAAGACACCACGCGGATCTCCAAGCTGAAACCTCTCGCTCATTTCACCAATTACTTTCCTAACCTTCTCGTACGCCACATCACTTTGAATATTGTCCCGCGCTCGCTGAATGTTGTGCCAGGATAACTCTGATATATTAACCACTGACGCACCACAGTATGAACCCTCTCTGCTTGGGAACGCAGTACGAAATCACCGTGTGACCCATTCGAATCTGCTGTGGTTCTCACACACAAATCTATTGAGTGCCCTTACTGTTACCGCACTATCCTTTCGCGTATGTCCTTTGTGCCTCATGGGAATTCATTCTGACAGCCAACCATAGCATTCTTGCAGCCTAACGGCAAGGGATACGCCCAGAGTGACTTTCACATCGAATGTGAATGTGCTCAGCCGATCACTAAAGAAGTTCTCGGCCTTTTCAAGTTTGCGAAAAACATTGTTGAGACAACAGTACCTGATACATATTTAGCGTGGGTGTCGCGTTGCTGATCATCTTGTACGACATCTAATGCAATTTTGTATATACAGTGGAACTCTTCACACACCCCACAGCACCTACGACATCGCGCGCGGAGACACGATCAAGGAGCGTGTCCTCGACTCAAATATCATTTTCCAGCAGAACAAGGCAAGTGATCGCGCGCGCCAGATCTTGATAAACGTCCAGCATGACGCTGTGCGCATGCGTACCGTGCTGAAGAAGTATTTGAAGCCAAGATTGTATGTCCTATTTTTGTTGCAATGGATATGTTTTTCTAATTGAACGACAGGTTGAATAGGATGATGGGTGCCTACACGGACGACAGGGTGTTTTCACTCGATTTGGTCGGTGCTGTGAGTACACCCTTGAAGTTTGATCGTATCCAAGGACTAATGTATGTATCTAGGTCCTCCGGCAAGGCTCGTATATATATATTTACAAGCGCTCCGGTCCGGTTGCGCATTCAATGATTTTTAATAGTAGTAGACGTCTGTATACTACGTTACTAGCCATTATCTCTTCCTCCCCTTCTCGAAAAAGCGCTCTATGACCTCGCACTATTGACAGTGCAGCGTACAGCTGTCCGTGCGCGAAAGAATCGGTGCGCAAGTCGAGTACTGCTTTCTGTAATGGTAAACCTCGACTTCCGTTGAACGTTAGCTGGACGCAATGGAAACTGCTTTCGATTGACCGTGCAGCTTGAACCCGAGGTGAAGGTAATGCGAGGCAGGCCGCAGTACTGCAGTGTCTTTGTCGTGCCTCGTGAATTTGGACTTAGTCAATCGCCGCGTGGGCCTTACATTATCATATAGAATAGAACGATGTGACCGTTTCAAGGCAGCCTGAATCACCAGTGAAGTCAACATGAATGATAATATGCCACCATGTAGTACTTACTAGTAGTACTATTACTACTACTAGTCACGGTAACTTGACTCGGAGTCTCGGACTCGGACTTGGACTCGGACTCAGGCTTCTCATCCGCATCCTCCAAAGCGCAAGGTCCTTCTCCACGCCAAATCTCAAACGGTAGTCGTGTGCTCATCGTGAGCAAGTCCAGCTGCGATTGCAAATGTTCCCCGAATCCATTGTGACGACCCGGCGGCGGAAGTGGGGTTCTGGGGGTTCTGCTAGTCACGGTGGAGTCAGCTCGAAACGCCGTATGCAAGCATTACTAGGCGCGTGAAAAATTATTACTAATAAGCCGAGGCCTAGTAGACCCACTAGCACTGCATGAAGACCGAGGCCAAACTGAGGCTACTAATCGGTGCACCCCAGTTTCGAAATACCATCACCCTTTCAAACTACCACTATAGTAGTACTCGTTCTCATCATTTTAGTCCCAGCCTGAGTGCTACTTAGTAGCCGCTGCCTGTTAGCAATCTACCGGAAAGTGCAATGCGCTTTGCCGCAGGGTCTCTTTGGATCGCCTTTCTCTCAGGCTTGCTTTTGTTAATGGTGTCTTGCGGGGCTTCACGGTGTTCGTGGGAGAGGGCAACAGACGCCCGTGGACTAAGCAGGCATCATGCCAGTTGTCACTTCTACAAAAAGTCCAGTGTCCTCGCAAGTCAGAGGAGACTGGAACGTGCAAAGGAGGCGGTTTCTACTCATTCGACTACAACTTCCACCCACCGGCAGACAGGCAGTTCTACTGGTAGCCGTGACTCGGACCTGTCTAAGTCCGTGAACACTTTACATGTGAGTTGTCCTTCTGACCTAGTTTGTAATCTTTCATCATGCAGACTTCAGAGACTCGGCCGTCCGAGACCAATCACCCCTTGCCGGTCACTGGCAAAGCAAAGGCCAGGGTCTGCGTCCCGCGGTTCATCTGAGTCCAACCTGACTCGAAACCTCGCCGACTCGCAGTGCTGCTCTATAGAGATTCCACGACATCATGCTGATGTTGATGCCGAGATGGACAGTGTCATCAATGACGCAAATGCAATTGACTTCGAAGATTTTCAAGTTGGTTCGTATTTCTTCGGGTATCGGCCGTCTACTATCACATTTCTGATCGTTGGACTGTTTTAGAGCAAGTGCGTCCTAGGAGACGAATTCTGAGACACTTGGATGACATCGAGCCCTCAGAAGAGGATTTTAATTACTCCGATAACAACGGTCAGAGCCCTACTCAAGGTTCGGCCGCGCTTCCAGCTCGATCCAGGATCCGGCGTGTTCTTTTAACACTAAGGGACACATTACAGACAACATATAACTCCTTCGGTCTCTGTCGAGTATATCCTCGACGCCCTTCCTTCGAGCCAAATAAATTCGTTCCTTCCTCGTTACTAGCGCAGACATGTCCAGCAGCCGCCCAAGGAAGTGATTCTCCACCGGAGGTCTTTGCACCACCATTCCCTTTCGCTAATATGACCCTCTATCGACTTATGTCCTGGATGAATACTGGTAGTAATCGGGTATCGGAAACCAAAGTCACAGCCCTCGTCAATGATGTGATGCTAGCTGACGATTTCGACCCTGAGCATCTTAAGGGATTCTCGGTGAGACAGAACCTACGAAAGCTGGATGCGGATGAGACTGGGAAGAGGATCACTTTTCCAGATGATTGGATCGAAACTGACATTACCATTGACATCCCGGTCAGGTCAAAGGAGGAGGGACCTAGACCTCATACGATTCCCGGGTTTCATTATCGCCCACTTGTTGAAGTTGTGCGTGTGGCGTTTTCGGATGCTCAAGCAGCGGCATTCCATATATTTCCTTTCAAACACATTTGGAAGGATCCTCTTGACCATCATGAAGAGAGAGTATACGATGAACTCTATACATCTGACGCCTGGCTGGAGGCTCAGGACAGTCTCCACAAGTCGCCGAAGGAAACTGGATGCTCATTGGAACGCGTTATTGCAGGCTTCATGCTTTTTTCGGATGCTACTCACCTGGCGAACTTTGGAACCGCCAAGGCCTGGCCGCTCTATGTCTACTTCGGAAATCTGACAAAATATGTACGTTCGTCGCCTACATCAGGATCATGTCATCTTGTAGGATTTTTACCTTCGGTGAGCTTCTTCGTTGTACACTTATCGACCACCATTGACAGTAGCTGCCCTTGTTAGCTCCCGGATAGCATTAAAGATGTTCTGAGTACCCTCCCTCGCATCTCAAAAAGTGGCATGGCCTCCCTTCACACCCATTGCCGCAGGGAGTTGTTTCATGCATGCTGGGACATCTTACTGGATGAAGACTTCCTTTACGCATATCGGCACGGCATCGTTTTGAAATGCGCCGATGGAATCATGCGGCGAGTATTTCCTCGAATCTTCACATATTCAGCTGACTATCCTGAGAAGTAAGTTTTTTCATCACCTTCGTAGCACGTCAGCTGAGTGATACATGTTCAGGGCCTTAATTGCGACAATCAAGGATATGGGCTTGTGTCCGTGCCCTCGCTGCCTCACACCCAAAGGCTTATTCAATCGTCTTGGTCTCGTGAGGGATATGAAAAGCCGCATAAATGACTTACGAGTATATGCTATGGCGAAGGTTGTCAAAGCGCGCCAGTTTATCTATGGATTAGGGAATACTGTGGACGGTGCAAAAGTTGAAGATGCCCTTGGAGAAGGCTCGTGGGTCGCTATTCTGGTGCGCGATGTATTTCTTACCAGTTTACAATTGATTTAAACCGGCGCTCGCAGAATCGATTCGCAGAGAAGCTTGGACCACTGGGCCTTGACCCATTTCGTATGCTCGTTGTCGACCTCATGCACGAGTGCGAACTGGGAACATGGAAGGCGTTATTTACACACCTGATGAGGCTTCTTTATTCCCTTCCTGAGGGTATTCAACTCATCGCAATTTTTGATAGCCGGTACACGTTTTTTGTGCAGATGCCAGTCATGTGCTAATGAATTACAATCTTACTAGATTTCGCCAGGTCCCGACGTTTGGTAATGGCGTCATTCGAAAGTTTGCGAATAAAACATCCGAGATGAAAAGGTTAGCAGCTCGTGATTTCGAAGATATCTTACAGGTTTTTGTCTTAATTGTCTGTTGCGTTGGGCTCGCTAACAGGTTCCCAGTGTGCTATTCCGGTCTTTGAAGGCCTGTTCCCTCCCGGCCACGATGCGGCTGTGCAATCCCTCCTATATCAATTTGCGCAGTGGCATGCTCTCGCGAAGCTCAGGATCCACACAGACTCGACGCTACTTTTTTTCGAAGAAACATTCAAGAAACTCTCCAGGAATTTGCGGAAGTTTCGGGACTACACCTGCGCTGCTTTCAAGACCGTGGAGCTACCAAAGGAGGCATCAGCTCGCCAAAGACGGTCTACCCAGCGCTCTGAAACCAACACAGGCTCTACAGAATCAACTGGGGCGAGAGTCAAGAAGTTGAATTTGAACACATATAAGTTTCACGCCATGGGCGATTATGTGAGAACTGTCAGGATATTCGGGACGACGGATTCATTTACTACACAAATCGTGCGTATCAAATGCATTCCCACTAATATGCATCTGAAACGTATTGACAGGGGGAGCTTGCACACCGCGCTCTAAAGGCATTCTATCCATTGACAAGTAAAGTAGACACCCCCGTGCAGTTAGCCAAGCACGAGCGCAGGCGCCGTGTACTCCGGCGGGTGGCAGAAGCAGGGGGAATATCCTCTTCCATCAGTCAACCGCCTATTGACACTCCCTCCTCCGGAAAGCATCACCACATTGCAACTAGTCGGAATCACCCGCTCCCCCTATTCACGTTTCTTCGAGAACATAATAATGATCCAGCTCTCAAGGTAGAAGTGATATTGTATCTTCAACGCACCTTACTCATGACAATTATCAGAAATTTATACCGAAATTAAAGGACCACATCCTCTATAGACTGCGCAAGCTAGATGTTAGTTATTGCGACTTCACCTTCTCAGACGAGGAGCGTCGGTCGGTCATTATTCCAAATGACACAATTTATTCGGTCCAAACGATGCAAGTTCATTATACTACGTACGACATCAGGCGAGAGTACGATACAATCAACCCTAGGACGCACGGCGACGTCATGGTGCTTTCCGGAGAGATGACGCCCAACCACCCATACTGGTATGCCCGTGTATTGGGCATATATCATATGGACACATGGCTCAACGAGGGAGCTCAACCTGTGAAAGAGCACCTCGAGGTCCTCTGGGTTAGATGGCTGGCTCCAATCCAGAACCATAAATCTGGTGTGAATCATGCTCGCCTTCCCAAGGTTGCCTTCGTCGAGGAGTCGGACGTAGATGCATTCGGGTTTCTCGATCCAGGGCAAGTCATTCGAGGGGCCCACTTGATTCCAGCCTTTAATTCTCGACGTGGGGTAAGCTGGCTTCGCCATGGGAGATCATTAGCATGTCCTGGTGGTGAGCTAGATGATTGGGAAGCATATTATGTCGGCATGTGAGTAAAAAACATCAGTTCTGGTGCTATGTACTCATTTACTTTTCAGATTTGTGGATCGCGATATGTTCATTCGTTATACACACTTTGGTGTTGGCCATCCAGCGATGCTGCGGAGGATAGCCAGAGACTGCGAATCCGTGACACTCGGAGGTGTTGTGGGCGGTGTGACCAGTACTAACGAGACAGACTCGGACATGGGCCATGACGAGAACGGTCGCCATCATGACACGGAGGATGACGAGGACGACTCGCGCTCGGACTTGGACTCGGAGGAAATGAGCGATGAAGAGTTTACTGACGAAGATCTGGAGCCTGACCATGTTGAAGACGTTGATGGAGATGAGGCCGAGGACGAGTTTGATGACCTTCTGTCTTTTTAGATTTGCGCTATTCAATTTAGTAGTAACCTTGTCTTGAACCCTTCCGTTAGTACTTCCGAGTCCGTAGCACTGAATTAGTACAAGTTGCATTGAAATGCCACTGGCATCAGGTCCGACTCTAATTTGGCCGTGAATACTAGTACTAGTAGTAGCCTCATCAATGAGTGACTCAGACTCAATCATAACTATTTCAGAAATGAGAAGGGTCCATAGTACCACTAGTAGTAGGATCGGTAGCTCGGGGATAAATGACATTACTATCATAGTAGTGTAATACATTTTGATCACAAAAACCAACATAACTTTCCTCCATTGAGAGTACGATCGGGAAAAGGTCTCAAACTCCAGGCCTAGTAAGTAAAGTCAGACTCAGAGCAAAAGCCAACTGTCAAACTTGAGCGGTACCTTCCGAGTCAAGTTCCATCAGGGTCGGACGACGAGGACCTGGAATCAAATATGTTCTCCCGGGCAGGCAACTGTAAAATCCGTGACCTGCTTCGGACCTCAAGACCATTATCTTGTGAAATGCTTGAGAAATGAAGATCGACAGTTTCAAAGTTAAGAGTGAGAAAGGTCGGTACCTTGCAGAGTACGAGAATAGTGACACTGCCGCAGTCACTGGCACTAGGCAACCGTACATTTCGTGACCTGCGTCGAACCTCCCTTGTAAAATGCCTGGCATGGGAAGGAGTCATGAATGTTCACAGTTTCGAAACCAAGAGTGCTCGACGAGGATCGCGGTGAGTCCCGGGCGGCCAACTTGAACGCTATGATCATGATGGAATTGTTTATTTGTCATTATTTGTCTTCCTGCACCGTCAAGACGATCAACGGTGGTGTACACTGCGTCTTGCTCAGTGTCTGCTGGCATGTCCCATGATCTACTCGGGCTTTTACCACTAGCAAGTGAAGGTTGTTCTTATTATTGGTGGCTGGATTTGCAAGTTCTCCGTTGTGCTCTATTGCGCTCTGAGATGATGATCAACCTTGTAAGATTTTCACAATTCATCGACCATCTCATTATTGACCATCTTCCTATATGAATACAGATCTGTATTTCTTCAGTTACCTCTTGATCATCTACTAGACCTGTCACCGTCACAGTGGCGGCAGTTTCAAAGAGGCACCATTTAATCGAGAGGATTGTCATGCAGGGACCTTTCAACTGGAGCATTTATAGGTTCTTTGTTGCAAAGGATACAATATTACTATGCGGGCAATATCTTCAGTATACATTTCACAATTCATCTACCATCTCATTACTGACCAAATTTATTTTTCTTGCCAGATGAATACAGATTTGCACTTTCTTCAGTTACCTCTTGATCACCCAGATCTGCCACTGTCACAGTGGCGCGTTCACAGGGGCACCATTTGATTAAGAAGATTGTAAAGCAGAGAGCTTTGAACTGGAGCATCTATGGGTGCTTCATTGCAAAAGATACAATTGTATTACTACGCAGGAAATACCTGCAGTACGCCCTCAAGTTTCAATGCACTCGTGATCCCTCATCATGGCCTATAATTTGGTAAGTTTCCACGTCTCTAATGGTTGGTCATGAAGATTACTGATTATCATGGCGACCATTTGACTCATTCTATAGATGGTGACAAGCTGAAGAGACCATTCGGCCGCTTACAACTATCACACTCTGATTTATGAAACATCGCCTAACCCGCACCTGATCTCAGGCGTTTGTATAGTTGGCAGGGGGATTTGGCACACAGCAGGTACGCAAAGTTTATACAGAGTCCAGTTATTCGCTCACAAGTCATTGATATGGTCCTAACATTTGGTAGCAGCGTCATCGGGATAAAGAATCCTTCTTTAACTGTTTCTAGCTATAGACAGGCTGGGCTGAGCTTGGTTCCGCTCCTATTTTCTCGTTTTCACATTTTCGGAATCATAATTCCCGCAAGTCTTCCTCATGTTAACTTGGCCTTTAATTACCATCATCACCTCTCTTGTAAGTCGGTTCAAATACTCGCCTCTTCTAAGTCTGACTTTCGCTTATAGCCTCCTGGCGGCATCCTATTTCTAGTACCTTAGTCTGGCATTATTTGACACGCATAGTACATGTCTATTTTTGCCAGTACTCACCGTCGTCAACCCACCAGTCCCTTCGTAGTCGCTCTGGAGTCAGCTACCACACCCTATTTCTCAGTCAAACCTATGGTTTAGGTTCAAACACCATCTCCATGCCTTTCGTTCGGCGACTATCACCCATCGTCTCAAGACCGCAATTCAGATTGTGACAAGGAGCTACATCGTGTGAAAACAATATCAGTGTCTTCTTTGGAGAGACTTCGCGATGATGACCAAGAATGCGACACCAATCGTGACTATTTGGATCCGGACACGGACTTCTACCGTGAGTACGGTAACGCAGAGCCTTTTTGTGAGCCCTTCGTATACCACTCTTCGGATCCTTGGCCTGCTTCGCCTGATACTTATCCTGATAGTGGCTATAAGCCTGAACAAGAAAGAAGTCATAGAAGTCATAGTCAACAACGTGTGTTACCAGAGGACGACATTACCAAGGTTCCTCTCTGACTCATCGGGTCTCATCACTCGGTTTCCTTGCAGCATCAAACTCTTCCCACAGTCCCTCCTTGCGAGGGCATAGCAATTCGACATGGGAAAAACAAGTTGCTTCTACGTCAGTATTCATGTCCCTAGCCCCATTGTTGCGTCTGCCACGCTGGCAGACGTTGTCAATCCTCGCAAGCAGTCCAATGCGACGCCTCCCTCGGCATGGTCTGCTTAGAGTATATCTTCCCGTAGGCTTTCACGCAGCGTTCACATTTCCATCTGTCCAGTTAAATACGGGCAGAGTCTTCGCTCGGCCTCCCGGTCTAGATCCCCACTTCCGCCGGCCGCAATACACAGTAACTTTTCCGAAGCCATTCCTCTACCTTCTTTCATCAATCGCCGCTCTTCCCACATACTACTGGATGATTCTATTGATCCCATCATGACCGCGCTTTATGACCTCATTGGCGTAGCAACAGATGTCACCGATATGAAATCAGCAGCCTCACTCACAGCCCAGCCTCAAGTTTGTGAGTCACTCGTTCAACGGGTACAGACTATTGGTAAGACATGGGATGAGCATCCAGATCGGCATGGGCAGAACTGGTATATGCAAGTTCTACTTGCCGTTGCCAGTCTCAGCCGTGTAGTCAAATGGTGGGAGGCCGAAGAGCAATTCTGGAATTTCGATGATAATGAGGACGACCAAGATGAACCCCTGATGTTCGTCTTGAGGCCATCCGATGAGCATCCTCCAGCGCCTACACCCATTGTCCGCAGTTGCCAGGAGGGTCTACGTCTTACGGCGTCACAGGGAAGGCGTTCCAGAGATGATGTTCCAAAAGATCTTTCATTCTTGTCTCTTTCGTCAGAACAACCGGCGCGGAAAGCCGTTAAACATAATTAATCTGACGCTTCCTGGCGACCGAAAGATTGCGTCTCAAGCTGAGACTGCACAGAACCGAAACATCGATTTGGAGCTAAGTTTGGACGGCGACCACTTTATTTGGGTCAATTGTGCATGGAGAGTTGTTGTCGGGTAAGGAACTTGTTTCCGGCGATGTTCGGCTTGTCTGACATATTATGATGCTTAGGACGGAGCCATCGAAACTTGCTGGAACTAGACTTTCACATCTTTGAGCCCCTGCAGATTGTCCCGTTTTTCGGGATGCCACTTATCAATTACAATAGGATGATTCAGTAGAGGCGCGCTTCAGGCTTCAAGTCGAGTTAGAGGGTGACCATGATGCTTCAATATCTGGCATTCTTTACCAACAAATGGAGGGCAAAGGCATGCTCGTGAGGATGCACAACCGTCTCACACGGTGTGGGTTGCCAAGCCAGTAGGTCCCCTAAGATGGGATTATCCTTCGCCCTCCATTGTCCTGGAATCCGGTGGTGTTGGAGATGAACCCATTGTTGAGGAGCCTTCGAAAGAACTGCTTGCCGACCGCTCTGGACTCGAACCAACGACGCCCTTTCCCTTCGTGCACCTGATTTCCACGGAGCCCTTATTGTGTTGGACATGCGAGTGTCAAATTCCGCAGTGGTACTCCGAGAAGCATAGCGAGACCTGCGTCGAAGTGCACCGGCCTGAAGCTGAGATTGTTAAGTGCAACGAGTCTATTGGCGAGCTCAAGAACACGATTCGAGACATTATGGCTGCCATGGATACCCCTTTCCTAACTTCGCCCCCAAATACAGAGGAGTCCCCATTATCACGCACTCAAGTTCGCCGAGCATCCCTTGTCCCTTGCAATTGTTCCGGCGGGATTACATGCAGAGGTTGACCATGAGGAAGACACAGCGCAGGTTGTTGGAATCGCTTGACGAGATTCTCCTGGTTGCTTCTGAGATTTCCATGCCTTCTCTAAAGGATGAAGAGTCGAAGGAGCCACTCCGGCGTCAGCGGTTACTTTCGCCAGGATCGGAGCGGAAGATGTCTCAGATCCGTACATGGTGTCGGCCGCCTGTTGAGGATGCTGCTCTCTCTCAGCTTGCTGAAGACGTGGAGTGTATCATGACGCAGAAGGTTGACAATGTCGTTCGGATGCAGAATACCGTCAAGTACTCCGAGAAGATCGGGCACGAATGGGAAGAGAAAGTCACCGGGAGTCTAGCTATTGTTGAAGCGGGTGAAAGTAGCAACAGTGAGGATGAGGGCGAATATCACAATGGAATTGATCCATCGATTCTACCTATTCCCGAAGACGTAGAGGCACCGGTTGACGACGATCATGCCACCAATCAATCTGAAGAGCTACTGTCGTCCCAGCCTACTCCCATGGCTTCCGAGTCTCTTATATTGATTGCTACCCCAAATGCTAGTCGCGCCTCCATTTCTGCTCCTGTACCTCAGTTTACTCCTCCGGCGTGGCAAATCATCAACAAGATGCCTACAATGTCGTCCACGCCATCACCCATATCTTCGCCTCCTGCTTTGGCTGCCCTAATCACGGCATCACCATCTCCCGACGATCAGCCTCCATACATGGACCTCAACGACAGTCTACCAGGGAATGCTACCGTTAGAACACGACGATCGGCCAGCAACCTTCTAGAACCGCAGCTTTTGGTCACCCCGCCCCTGTCACCCAGCATATCTCCTCGAGATGCGCCCACTGCTACACGACGCGGGCACCGCCGTCATTCTACAGTAAACCTCATATTTAGTCCTTCAGTATCAAATGTCCCTCTATCTCCTCGCCAATCGTCTGCAGCTCCTTTATCACGATCGACTCCGACTTCTATCAAAGACTTTGACATCAAGCCTATCAGCAAAGGAGCCTTTGTATTCGTCTTCCTTGCGAAGAAGGCAATTGGAGACTATTACGCTATTAAGGTTCTGAAAAAGGCCGATATGATTGCGAAGAACCAAATTACAAATGTCAAGGCGGAGCGCATGATTCTTATGACGCAGGCCGAGTCGCCGTTCGTTGCCAAATTGTACTTCACATTCCAGAGCAAGGAAAATTTGTATCTGGTTATGGAGTATCTAAATGGTGGCGATTGTGCCGCTCTTATCAAGTCTCTGGGCTCACTGCCCGAAGAATGGACGAAGCAATACATTGCTGAAGTTGTACTGGGGCTTGAGTGTCTCCACCAGCATGGCATTGTTCACCGGTAAGTTCTACAAAATGTGCAGAAGCCACATGCTTATCATTTTCCAGTGACTTGAAGCCTGACAACCTTCTCATCGACCAGCACGGTCACTTGAAGCTTGCTGATTTCGGTTTGAGAAGGATTGGTCTCCTTGGTCGTCAAACGCGCGAACCCATGGGCATGGGTATGCGACATCGCACAAGATATGATTCACGTTCGCGACCACCTTCAATTGACTCCGGCTTTCTTTTATCACCCTTACTCTCAACCGAAATGATTGGTGGAGGTTTGTATACTAATCAGGGAACACATCCGGTGTCACGACAAGGAATTTCGCCTTCTCAGATGACGCAAGCGAATCCGGTCCCGAATCTATATACAATCATCATTCACGCCGAAGCAGGGCTGGTGAAAGTCCTCTGCAATCGTTTGCTATGGAACTGACCACCGACTTGCGTTCATACTACTCGGGTGGTCACATCCCCGGGGGAGCAGAAGTTTGTTGGTACGCCAGATTACCTTGCTCCAGAAACCATTCTTGCCCTTCATGGAGATGATGCTGCTGTAGTGGACTGGGTTAGTGCCTTAGCCTTGCGCGTTTCCACGTTGCTAAGCTGTCTACAGCACATTGGGGTTTTGGTGTCATAACTTACGAATTTTTATATGGCATTCCCATGCGGAGACGCCAGAGAAGGTTTTCGAGAATATGCTTTCTGGACACATCGAGTGGCACAAGGACTGGGTGGAGTTCTCCGATGAGGCTCGTGACTTCATGCAACGGCTGATGTGCATAGACCCATCCGCTCGTCTCGGGGCTGGTGGCGCAGATGAAATTAAGAGGGCATCTCGTCTTTGAAGGTATAGAGTGGGACAAAGTGACGTCTACAGAGGCGGTATTCATTCCTCAAGTTTCTGATCCTGGATCGACCAATGATCGATCCGCGTGGGGCTATACCTCAGTTATTCCACGAGGACATCGGAACTGTTACTCAGCTTGGGAATATCCACACCTGAGAGCGTGTCACATTAAGGCCTCAGGGATGCCCGGCGTAGATTACTGATCTACACTACCCAATACCGTTTCGCCAGGTTCTACCATCAACTTCATTCTTCCCTATCCTATCATAACGTTGTCGGCTGACTCTTGCATGCCTCGCACATGATCAACGCTTACAATAGATACGGACCCAAGCATCAAATTGCTCAAGGTACCTCATTGGGTGTCAGTCAATATTTAATCGATGACCGGGCCAGACAACTCACATCAGCTTCCCGCTCTAGTGGATTCCGCACCGTCATCGATCTTCGTTTTTCATCTGCACATCGCAAAGAAGAGGCTTATCAACCCTTCTTGCTGTTCTTTTGTTTTTGAACGATGTCTCTCGCCGATGAGAAATTGGGCAATGACTGATGCTTCCTCTGGCTTATCCAGCCATGCCCGCGATGATCTCGAGAAGGGATTAGTGAGGAAGGTCGATCAACGTACGTCCACCATCGTGCTTTGTATACCATGAACAATGTGAGTCTGAGCTCTCTATTACTTGGTGCTTACCATTGGTTAGATCGACAGAGCGAATATCACGTATGTTACGCATCTTCACACTCATTTTATATGATCTCATGTTATCCACAGTAGCGCACGGTTGGCAGGTTTTGAGGAAGACCTGCACCTATAGGGGAGTCAATATGCAACGCTCTTGTCTATCACCTATGTGGGATTCATTATCATGCAAGTGCCAGCGTCAGTTGCATCCTTCCTTCGTTGAGGGAAATTTCATTTTGATTTTCTTTCAGGAATTTGTTTTTCCACTGGCTAGAGAGACCCGCCTCGTCGACGGGGCAAAGTTCGAGTCAGTTCGACACACCTCGTCCATCGGTTCACTTGATCGACTTGAAGAAAGGTGCTGATCCCACCGACCGTGTGGTGACATGTCTACTCGCCGAGGACAATCCAATAACCGCCAAAATACTGGAGACACTTTTCATCCTTCTTGGTTGCGAATGGGTCAGAGGCCTGAGCGATATCAGTAAGTACTCTTGGCGCCCGCGTCGTGGTTCTATGGTCTGATTTCTCATAGAATTTGAATGTACCCTCATGGATTCACACATGTCAGTCGGTACGTGATGCGCTCAGTCCGGTGTGCCTGTTTCCTGACGTTTGTCACGACTTGTAGTTGATGGTGAGGGTACTGCTCGATACATCAAGACAACCAGTGGTAGGAATTCCAACACACCTATGGTTGCTGTTAGCGCCTATAGCGCTGCAGACACGAACGATAGCAGCTTATTCACCGCCTCGCTTACTAAATCCGTGCAGAGGGCTGATATTCTGATTTTCAAGTAGTAATCTCGTCACATTTCTCGTCACTAATCCACCCCCCGGAACACAGGTCTAAGTATTGAACGGTCAACTTTCGAAAAATGAAGATGGGACATCTAGAATAAATTGATGTGGATCAGTAAGTTGGTGGTTCGTCAGTCGTCGCACGTCTCACCTGATGCCCTCACTCACACCTTGCACCACGCCTTTAACTTGCCCTTCAGTTCCTTCCAACATCCTAACGGCAACTCTGTTTCACCCGCGATCTCCACCTTTGGCTGACCTGGGGACCTCAACCTTCGCTCTTACATTCCCAGTGAGTCAGAGCGTTGAATGTGTCGCGCATGCCGCTAATATACATTCAGCAACGATCGACGAGCAAAAAAATGGAGCTCACCGCATACACTGGACTTATATTGTACCGTGTCACTCGTACTGATAGATTGATCTTGATCATGGTATCGTAGGATGTCTTTTACAAGGGAAACTCGATGGTGTTTGGAGATTACCGTGACCGTCACACTTTACAAATACAGTCACAGTGGTAACTTCGTTTCTCTCTTTTTCAAGTTGTTGATCCAGTATCTCACCATTACCAGCTTCGATACATACGGAAGCTTCGCAAGATCTTCGTGCCCAGTCCACTTCATGATGACCTTGCCTGTATCAATGTCCCATAACCTCACCACACCATCTTCGCTCCCGCTCGCTAAGTTCTTCCCATCTGGAGACAATGCCAATGACTCTCTACGTCCTACCAGTCATTCCCTATCTGCTCTCCGCTCTCCAAGTTCCATACTCGCAGTGAGCTGTCGATCGAACAAGTGATGATCCGCTGTCTTTCGGGCAGTTGTATTACGTCGGTGACAGATTTGGTATGTCCTTCAAATTTCTGGTAGTGCGTTATCGTTGATGTCTCTGTAATCTTCATGTTTGATGAAGATAATTTTGAAGTCGGTTGCAATGGCACAGAGACCTTTCGTGTTGGTCCTATCACAAATTGGGGTACTACCTGGACCAGCGGCGACGATGTTGATTTCTGTTTCAGAATTTGTCCGCTAACCTAGAATCCAGGCCATACGTGTGGGGCCCGCTTTTTGTGGCCCTGTGGAGGTGTGTTGTTGGAAATCCAACCCGCCAATACAGTACGTAGTATATCTTTCGTTTTTTGTTTGACTCGAACGATCGTTCTGCAGCGGAGTTACCATATTAGGCAACTCCACGGACGGTACTTTCGACATGCTCGTTCTTCGTTTCTTACATTCGACTGGGGAACTCACTAGAGTCCTATCTATCTAGCCCAGCACTCGTCTTCTATTATGTGTATGTCTCAGCACTTTGTCTACTTTTCCGATTGCTAATCTTGTAACTTCAAGATATTCTGTAGACCATGTTCGCACTTCTGGCCCGGCACTCAGCAAATATTTACCGGACTCGGGTACCGCTTCATTGGCAGCTACAGTAACTCGACTCAACACTTGGACAAGCACTCGGAGTCCGACTTCCTCTTCCCGCCACATCTAGTGCATTTGCACTCTACTGGAACAACCTGTCTACCAGTATCAAGGAGGTACGTGCTACGTCAGCGAAAACCTCCCGCGCTAATGCAGTACCCTAGGAATACAAACGAAAGGCCACGGCGCAGGTGAGTGTCATCGTGCTTACTAGTTCTACAGGCCACTGTACTAACTGGGTTCTTCTACTACAGATCAGCTCTTCTTCGACGCTCCAAGGCAGGGACAGTGGGAATGAGCACGATGACTAGCGGCGGGATCCCCAATGTACTATGTGTGCAAGATAGCATTGGTGTCGGGATGTCGGACGGGGCGCGAGGGGGTGGGATGGCGAGAAGCGACCCCACTATCTTAATAGCTCCCTAATACGAGCAATTCACAGCGATACCCACCTACAATACATTCAATAGCATCAGATCTGAATCGGTACAATTTTCAAGGCCAATCTAACCATTTTAACCTATCCAAAGATCTATCTTTTCTCGTCTTGAAAGTGCTGTTTTTTTTCGAAAGACCTCAAAACACGATGATGTAACTTCACTGGGGTTGAATGTTGAACTGATTAAACGTGCTCAGTGTCACACTGTGCAAAGCAGGCACATTGGCCATTTGTCCTCAGCCGCATGTAAGTAGCTGAGATAAAAACAAATGTCTCAAAACTTGAACTTAGATGATACGATAGTGGGATCGTTCTGCATGGACTGACATGCTACCTTGGCACCTGCCTTGCATAACATGGTTTGTACGGTACGCAAGGCCACCGCTGCTCTATTTAGCTGGAGACAACAGGTGCTACCTCTCACAGAGCGCACATCTCACCTACGTCACAACGATGCACAAAATAAGCTTTTGTTAGTAAGCATGAAACTTGGCCAAAAGAGTTTCGAAGGTTGGTTGCCCGCCTCCCAATACTTGATGATGCTGCCACTTATCCTATATGTCACCCTCTCTGAACTACTAGACAATAGCTGGTCGTTCAACACTATGAAACCAGGGTCTTTGATTCGTGTTACGGATGACATACCCCTAGCTTTAGCATTAGTGAACTGTGAAAAATAGCCTTGTAATTCACAACTTGAATTGGGTAATATGAAAACATTCAACCAGGCTTACTGGGGTGCCCTGCCATCTCTTCTCAGCTGTGATGGGCCAACAATAACATGTTATTGCAAATTACCTGTAGATACAGATATGATGACCATTGCCAAACCTGCTTTCCATGAGATAGTCTTAAATAGTCTTTTAATTGAAAACTTAAATAAGGGGAAACAACAACGCTCTACAAGGTGAACACACTGACAGTATCATCCCTTAGTGGCTATGGTGTTGAAAAGTCATGACGAGGTCACAAAATTCTAGATGTCATCTAGACTCGGAGACTTGCATAGCCATATAGCAACATTACAAATTTCTCGCACTAGAAATGCCCATACCTAGCGATAGCACAAATATATCCTTCTATAGATCCCATGGGTACAATATCAAGGACTCCTCAATTCACTGATGGCAACGAACAAGCTTTGCGCTGCATCCAAGTTGCCAACATGAGAGGCCACTGTTTATTAAGGAGCATTTTGGACGCAGACACCAGATTATCCTAGTGCAACAATCATTGGGCCCGTCCTCCTTGAATAATGTCCGATGATCTGTTGATCAATGAGGATGACAACTGGATGAGAGGAAGAGGACTGGGATACATTTGCAGTTACGGCCCCGGGAAGCTGCCCACCCTCTACATCAGCCCGTGACTCTTGTTTCAATTCGATTTTCTGTCCGGCAACTATATAGGGGACTCTCGCCAACTCAGTTCTAGGATCTAAGTTTTGACCAAGGATGCGCTAAATAACTAGCAGGTCGCATCCGAGTCATCATCGCTGTGTATGATATCTTTCATGTCTCACTGGCGCTAATTTAAGACCTTCTCACCCACAATCAGAACGCGACGCTTCCTACCCTCTCATTATGTAAGTCCAGACAACAACAAGGGCCAAGTTGTCTTATTGCATCAGTTCAATCCAGTCAAATTTAGTGACTGGGCCAGTCTCCCATGTGGAGGCACGTGCCTTGTCACATGATACTTAATATAAAAGGGCTGCCACACGTCGGGTCGAAAACAAACATCGTCATAGACCCAAGGTCACTGGAGCGCGTACTTGCATCAGAACTATTCTATATTCTAACGCTTCTTCAATTACAGTCATGGTAAAATACTTCGGATATCTGATAACTGAGGGCTGGTTGCACCAAAAAGCCCTTGATCTGGGCTATCCGCCCGCTCAGACACCAGAAGACTCGCGTAATATCCGTACTACTGTTCCCTTGAATGTTATGGCAGCGGCGGGCGTTCTCTCCTACGCCAGACTTCGTGCAATAAAAACACCCAAGGGCAAACATTTCTGGTGCATTGCCCTCGCCTGTGACGATCCTATTACTGTTGGAGAACGAATGTCAACCCGCGCGCCGCCAGAGGCAAACTATAAGGCTTTGAAGGAGGCGATGGGGAAGGATGGCCCGGCTCACTGGTATCGGGCTATTTGAAATGAAATGTCAGTGAGTTTTCTGCTTTGCCACTAGAAGCAACTAATGTTCATTTTTCTTAGAGATAAATACGCAAGTCTCATCGCATTGTCACGTATATCGCCACATACCATCGAAGTCATCGAATCGCAAGATGTAATGATATATGATCACTTTCGTTGCCCGCATATCTACATATTGGGCTAAGGAAGAGCCAGGATGCCACAAATTCTGTATTAGCTCCCTATCATCGACCATCAGGAGGTTTGCTGTCATGCTCGTCTCATATTATTGTGTTGACAAATCTATTTAGCAACGGAGGGAACGGACGGTTTGGGGACTCGATGTGCGGTTCTATGATACACTTTTGATGTGCTTGCCGCTATGAGGGCTGTGAATGAGGTCCCTTTCAATTGCCAGGGAGGTGGAGGACAACTATTAGCCCGAAACCTCAAACGTTTGAACGTTCACTTGAACTCTGATAGCACGACTCAGTATGATCAGGATTCAGGACTGCAGAAAAGCCGTCAGGGGAGTTCACGATGAGTTGTTCCAAAATCGGCATCATATTCATGCTTCATAGATCGCTCGATGTATCACTCAAGTTATGGTGTACCGTTTCAGCTCCGTCGAATGTTAGGCAATGGAGAAATTGTCGGTAAGCCTGAATCATCATGTCTCCTTAATGTATATCTACTACTAGTCATAGATCTATCCTTCCCTCGCGTTCCTGGTGTCCAACCTTACCTTGCACTAAAGGCTGCTGTTGTGCATGCTTACCGAAATAAAGAGGGCGCACGCTTTAAGTGGTGCTACTCCCTGCTTCGGCTTATGCTGACAGAACCCTCGCTATGGTCAGTCATCGACCACGACGTCAGTCAGTGCACAGATTCGGGCCAGGTACGCTTTGCCGAGTACATAGTTAGTGAGTGCCTCTCATTTGAATGATGCTGTGAGACGTTTACAGCCGGTTCAGCTGCGCTCAATACCCTCGCATGCGTCCGCCTGAAAGGTAACACCCACAAGGATCTTCAAGACATGGCTGCAATCTGTTAATTCCACGACACCACCACTTGCATTGCATCCGCAGGGCCACCTCGATCACGAATTCTCTATCGTTTAATCGCTCCGAGCCGCACAAAGGAGTGCGCCGCTGTCAGCGTCTCTGAACTTTATGCTACTTCCCCTCCGTTCGGAAGGCAAATACCTTTTTAGTATCGGTTTGAACAACGCTGATAACGTGATCAGCGAATACGACAAACTTCCAACGGATGCATCTGATGACGGCATCCAATTTCGACGAAGTGTACTTGAGCTCTGCCTTCTTGGACATAAGACTTGGTCCTGAGGGTGGTCGCTTGCAAATATCAGTTGTCCCTTTCAACCTAAACCCGCTACCATCGCTAGACCGAAGCACGTGAAGTTGACAAGGCCATCATTCTATATGAAGATATGTCGCGCTGTATAACTGAGCGCCCACTTCCATCATCGCAGTGACATTAATGACCTCAGCAGAGCTGTCGCCCTCAATCTTATGCATCAATGTGTTATCTCGCGTCAGCTGGGAGTGACCACTATAGGAGGTGTAAGTCTTCGGAAGTGTCCCTTGAATGGCCTCGTCGTGGAGGTGGTTCTCCAATTCTTTTTCCGTGCAGGACAATCCAGGCAACTTCAAGAATTCTGCGAGGTTTCAGAGCATCGTCCTCGGGTGACGTCCAAAGGTATCATGGTTCATTTGCTATGTGCAAACCAAGTTGTACACATGGAGGACACGAGTTTGATGATGACAATCAACCATAGATGATAAGGCGAAACAATCTAAAGGATCGTCGTTACCTATCGATAAAATAAGTGCTGTCCATGTACGTGTTACAACATAGGTGATAGTAGAACCAAGATATCCGAAAGACGTCGACAAGATGCGCTAGCAGCAGATATAAGACTTCTTGGCTCCATGTTCGCCAGGGTCCGTATGTACTGCTACTGCTTGCTGGAGTGGTTGCTGTTGCTGTTGCATATCAGGGTCTGGTTCAACGGCGTCGAGATATTCGTCAGGTACGATGTCTGGGTCCTTGCCAGGAGCACCCGCAGCAACATTACGCTGTAGGTCTATGCATCAGACACCTAAGATATAGCGATAAAAATCGACCCGACGCACCTCTTTGGCCTTCGCGAATGGAACATCGACAATAGGCGACAATGCATGCCGGGTGAACGAGTGTCGTAGGCGGGTTTTGAAGGTGGTGGTGACAGCGACTGGTGGTGAGGTCGTGGGTGGTGCAGGTGCAGGTGTAGGATCTGATTGAGGCCTACTCGTCATAGCAAGCCTGAATCTTTTGAGGCGCCCAGGGCGCTGTTGAGGTCGTGGCTGGGAAATTTGGGAAAGCTATAATGAACGATGTGAGAGAGAAAAGGAGAATATACTCTGGCACGCACTTGATGCATTCCGTGAAAGAAATTAGGTTCTGCATCGTAGCCATCCTGATCTTGCCCCGAGATCTCCATCTGCATGACAGTCAGTAGCAAAGACTCGGAGGCAAGGAAGGAGGTACATACGCTAAAAATACGGTCATCATGCGCAGCGAGTGCATTACATTGCTCTTTGAAGTCTGAGTGAAATGCGGGTAAGTATGATAGCCTCGGGTGATATCACTAAAAACTTGCCATTGGACCAATCGAGGCAGCTGGCCTTCGCAGATTCATCAATGGCCTCCATCATGCATTCGTGTGCTTCAAGAGCTTCATCGGGTTTACTTCCCAAAAGGAAAGCCTGGCACCGTTTCTGGTGTGCAGTGAGCAACAATGACTCGAGGTCCCAGCCGAAGAGCTGGACAAAGCACTAAGTTACGAGAAGTATTATGTATGCATCATATTGACGCACCACGGTCAAGTCCTCATATGTTTGATGACGATGATTTTCTTTCGATGAGAAAGCGCCCGACTTGATAGTGGCAGTTAAGTGATCAGCGGCCTCGTCGTGACGCGCACCATTCAAAGCTTTGATTCCGAGCTGAACACGTAGATATGTCTAATGTGCGAACAGCAAGGATCAGTATCGATGACCAAGCATAGCTGCGTGATATTCACCTCCACGACATGACGCGCGAGAGGATCGACATTGGGACAAGCGGTAGCCAGCTCTTTGATAAGCAGCATTGCTTCTTTATGTTGATCTGCATTGAAGAGCGCGATGGCCTGAAATACAGAATGAAGCAGAGAGCATGCGAGATGAATTTGACTTGCCTTGGTCAAGATAAGAAATTGGTTGGTGGCTGAATCTTGGTTCGTGAACATGGATGCGCCATCGAATGCTATCCTTGCTTCCAGGATGTGGCCTTTTCCACAGAGGGCGATGCCTTTGGAGATATAACCTGGCAACGAGGGCCGGATGTCGATAGACTATATCATAAATGAAAGTTAGTTTTTTGTAACAAGGCCATGATGGGTCAGTTCATCTCACCTTGATTGCATCCTCAAAGGCATGATCCCAGGCGTGTTTCCGGGCCATAACGAATGCGCGATGAGCATATAAGATAAAGTCATTGGCATCGGTGTCGATGTCTTGTGTGAGTAGCTCTTCAGCGGTAGACAGGTCTCCGGTTACACATGCGTCGCGGGCTGTTGTAATATCGAGGATCTGCACGAAGGATGCTCGAATTGCGTTATGAGAGTGAGAAATGGAAACTCGCCTTTGAATGAGCGTCCTTTGGTATTGCCCACTCTGAGATCTTATTGTCATTATCTCCACTGAGGATGTGCTTACCGTCCACAGAGAACGTGACACATGTCGGTTGGGATGAATGCTGGAAGATGGCGATGGTTCGTTGATGTGAGAGCTGCCAGAGACGGATATGGTTGTCAGTAGAATGGCGTTGATAGGAGTGTTAATAGTGTGGCCAATCCAGGGATGGCCGACCTCCTGCCAAGTTGATGAATCCCATTCTATGATTATAGGTTTTCTGATATCTTCGTATTCATCAGCATCATCATCATCGGCTGTTGAAAGAAGGCGTGTGCCATCGGGCGTCCATGCAAGTGCTGTGTCCCGTGATCTGTTAAGGTGACCTATCAAATCTGCGACCTCTTCCCTTGTGCCTGGATTATAAATTTGGATATTCTCCGCTGTTGCGATGGCAAGAAGTTCACCAGAAGGCGAATATCGAACGCAGCAGACTCCACTACCACACTCGATTGGTTCTCCTTGCATCTGCCACGTTTTGGTACACCAAAACTTCACCGTGGTGTCATCCAATCCCACCACATTACCTGTGGCAGTGGCTAGCACCGTTCCATCTGGAGAAAAATCCAAAGAATAGATCCAATTGGCGTGGGCTTCGATGGGTTGCCAGTGGGTGATGGATTTGCCGGTTTCTCCATGCCAGGCGATGACCTCTCCATTGTGATCACCGCTTGCTATCATTCTACCATCTCGTGATATCGCCAATGTCCGCACCTCACTGCTATGCCCTTCCATCTTCTTCAAAACAACACCTGTTTTCAAGTCCCAAAGACGAAGTGTCTTGTCGATCGAGCTTGTAATCATTCGTTGTTCATCAGGGAACACTGCAACTGCCCTTATGCTCTTCTCGTGATCTTCAAAAGTTCGAAGGGGTGTAGTGCTTGGAATGAGCCGCGACATTTTACTAGGGGTTGATGGTGTTGAGTACGGTCGAGGGATTGTGGGCGTCTTTCTCTGAGTTGTAGAGGTTCGTTTATTGTGTATTTTTGTTTACTTCAACGCGCCAACCTTTCTCGTTTCCACAGACGCCCAGGGCATTGCGCAAAGCAATTCGCCATCACTGTTCCAGCAAGAATGATCCCTAGCACTCTCAACCGCCTTCCTCGACGGCGCTGTGCACATGCATGTTCCCACAGCTTCCAGAAGATATGCGCTCTCATCCAATGGCGATAGCGTTCCCGGCCCTCAAATGTGGCCTATCCTACATAAATTGCCGCATGAATATATCATTGTTTCTCATGTCGAGCAGTTTCTCCAACACTTCACATAACTTGTTCGAGGGCACGTAGCTCACTGCAATATCATCTCTTCATCTTGCCATTCCCAAGTCTGTGCAATCAAATTTTTTTTCTCTCCAAGTCCGCTCAAAATAGAGCAGTTTCTGTCTTTTAAGACGCGTTTCATTCAAAACATAACGTCAGTCTTGCTAGCAGCGCTTTTCTTCTCACTCATCTATTTGACATGTCACTGCAGCGTTCAGAATGTTCTGTCATCGATCATGGAATTCATGGACCCAATCGATCCTCGGTCCATATCGAAACATCAAGCGAGTTCCATAATTTTCAATCGATCTTTCACGGTACAAACAATCTCAAGTCCAAGGTCTCACGATTCCTTACCTTACTAAAGAGACTACAGATCGTGTATATGGTGCATCTTTACTCTTGATACCCGTACTCTCCAAGGTCCAAAGATACGATCAATTACTTGTACTGATGATCGCTATCCTTACTAGCAGCACCTTCACACCTTCTTGATGCCTTTCGTTGTCTTTCTACTTTCTACCCCTCGCCTACGGTTGTGGGCTACACTGGGCTCAGCAACAATGCAGAATAGCTCTCACCCAGAATGACTGTCCCTCTTTGCTGCACGTCATTCTCAACAGAATGGATGCTCCAGGAAGATGACCATGTGTGGCTATTTGTTCTATCAGGGGTCGCGGAGGCAGGTGAGTGAATTTTTCTTTCGTGACGTACTCCTAATGTCTGAATACATAGCCTGCGTCTACACGTCGAAGATGTTCCGTGGGTCCTGATCTGATATTCACCATCGCAGTAGTAATCCATGTTGTTTATTGGTTTGACTTAGCTGGCTGACGGTCATGAAACTTATCTGTCCGACATTCCAATAGCTATCGTACTGGCCTGCAATATGGGTGCACGCCCTCATTGTACGGTCAAACTGTTTATGATGGTGAGAACTACCGTGGTCATGTTTCAAAAGACTATGAACTGAGAGCGCATAGCTAACTGATTGCAATCAAATGACTGGCATGATATCCTCAGCACTGTTTCGAGGAATGTTATGGCAGCGGCGGCGTGCTCTCCTACTCCAGAGTTCGTCGAACAAAAACTCTCAAGGACAAATATTTCTGGTGCATAGACCTCGCCTGTGACGATCCCATTACTGTTGGAGAACGGTTATCAACCCGCCCGCCGCCGGAGGCAAATTATAAGGCTTTGAAGGAAGCGATGGGAAAGGATGGCCCGCCTCACTGGTATCGAGCTATTCGAAATGAAATGTCAGTGAGCTTTCCGCAGCAACTAATTGTGTCTTGTTGCGATGGCAAGAAGTTCACCAGAAGGCGAATATCGAACGCACAAGACATAACCAGACTCGATTGGATCTCCTTGCATCTGCCACGTTTTGGTACACCAAAACCCCACCGTGCCGTCATATGCACCAGTGACCAGCACCGAACCATCCGGAGAAAAATCCAGCGAGCTGGTCCGAGAGGAGTGAGCTTTGATGGGTTGGGTGATGGATTCGCCAGTTTCACCGTGCCAGGCGATGAATTCTCCATCATAATCACCGCTTGCTATTATTTGACCATTTCGTGACACCGCCAATGCCTGCACCCAACTGCTATGCCCTTCCATCTTCTTCAATACGACACCTGTCTCCAAGTCCCAAAGACGAAGTGTCTTGTCGTCCGAGCCCGTAATCATTCGTCGTTTATGAGCACGGCCGAGGGATTGTCTTTCTCTAAGCTGCAGAAGTGCGTGTATTGTTATGTTACTTCACACGCACCAACCTTCTTCGTCTCCATAGACGCCCAAGGCACGAGGCAGTTCGCCATCACCGTTCCGGCAAGGATGCTCCCAACCGGTCGTAACCGACTGCACTGGCTACATGCGTCCGACATTTGTTTTCGCGGTTTGAAGCGCTACCGAGACATCAAGCGAGTATCACGCCCCTTCAACAAACTTTCGAGCTCAAGTCTTATGTCTCATGACCGCTTACCTTACGGCTCGCTGTAGGCCAGTATAAAGTATGTGCATGTCTATGGTGCGTCTTGATTGTTGATCCCCGTCAGGAAGGGAACATTCCCAGTCCTATGCACCAATATTAAATTTTTATTGCTTTCGCCTGCGGTGAATTTGAGTCCAAGAGCGACCACTATGCGCATCATTAATAGAAAATACAAGAACATTGTAGCCAATGATGTGTGGGTAGCTGTGCACTACCGCACACCAACGCATCCTTCTTACCAAGCATACCTGCAGCACTGTCCATAGTGTGCATTATTCTCAACAATTCATGTACCTCTGCACATGTACCTCTGCAGTCTTGCCTGGCACTTGGTCTTCACCGCCAGATGGCATCAACCTTACTACCTGCCTGTCATATCCTTCACAGTCAACAACATCGCTATGGGCTGCCTGAAAGACACGGCTACCAACTTGAAGAACAACCAAGGATTCGCCATGAACATCATCAGCGAGGCATTCGTCAAGAATGCAAATGCGACTGTCGTAGATGCTCCTCCCGAGTTTGACGAGTGGGCTCTCAGCAGTCTGACAAAGGGGAAATGCGTACGTGTTACCTAACAGGTGCCTGTCAAGAGTGACGAGTCATTGCAAAGTGGGTGGTCTAGAATCTATACAGTCTGAATGACGTTGTCTCGTACAATATGTACAGTATATTACTAGGACTCACTGCTGCCGCACCCACTACCGCATCCAGCAACACGACCAATACGTCCTCTAAATTCAGCCTCTCAAAAGCATGTCTGAGAGGCGCATAGTTGATTAGTTCGACGAGTAACACTGCTAGGTCAAGATGACGAGGACGGACGAAGGGTTGCCAGAAATGATAAGGAAGCGACGGGACTTGGAGCATAATTCGTACCCAGGCTGCTACTTAGTATGTGCGAAAACCACATCTAACATGCGTGTGTGATACATATGCGGTAGCTGTACATATGGTAGCACCCTTTAAGTAGTCCAAAAACTTTGAAATAAAAACATACGACTACAATATCTCTATGGTCCTGATGTCTATCGAGTCTGCAACAGAAACTACGTCGTGGACTTGTGCAATGATATCATAATCCGTCGCGATCCTCTTGTATTCTCCACTACGCTGTTGCGCTAGCAAAAATGCGCTGAAAGGCTGCCCAAGGCGAACAAGCAACCGCAATGCTCGTGATTTTAGGTCAGACATCCCCTGTTTTACAGGAGAACCACCAGACCAGTCGTCTGACGGAGAAGAAGGCGGCGTCTCATAATCTTCCTCGCTCTCCGTATCATCTCTATGGTCAGACGGTTCTGGAGATTCTGCAAAGTCAGGTAGCTCCAGAAGAGACCGATCCCAGGGACGGGCGAGGAGAAATTTTTGTTCAGTGGACCTTGCCGGCCAGAATTGAACCAGAGTCTCTCCGGTGGTGATAAGCAAGTCGTGAAGTCCGTCTGCCTTTACTCCATACGCGAAATGAGTTTCCGGGGTTGGATTGCCCACCCGGCGTCTGACTTCCGTGATATTGAATGCAATACAAGGCAGATGCAGTCTTTGTGCTGCGAAGCGAGGGGCGCTCGTGTTATGAAGCCGAGTATAGAGGTCTGAAGCGCAATCAGCAATCCCCATTATTCGTAGCGAAGAAACCGATGACTGAATTTCATCTTCGGGTAGGGGTAGTAGCTCGCATGGTGGAGCTTCGTATGAAGTGATGGAGGCTGGTAGACAGCTGTTGAACTCTGATGATCTTCCGACCCAATCGAGGCTAGTGATATCCCCCGACCGAGCCACAATCTCCTGTAGGAGCCGCCCGAGAGCCTTATCCTGCTTCTCGCCATAATCTACAGGCAGACGGACGCCAAAGATGCCAAATAAAGAGTATGCGATGTCTTCCTGGCGTGTGGTGATGCGGGTCGACGCCCAATGGAGTTTTTCTCGGGCACTATTCATACTAGGACGCAAGGCTGCAACGGCCGGTCGGTCTATTCCTGTTGCGTCCTTTATCTCCTGCATGATTTCGACGGAATCCTTGTGGTTTGGAGTACGATCATTACGATAAAGAGTCCAATCGTTCTGATAAAAGAGAATGGCTTTGGGAGCGATAAATTCCTGAAACGTCCATCCGCGCGTGTTCCAAGCGCTCTTTGTCAGTCCGCCAGACTTTGACGAAGGCGGAACATCAGACAGGTAGACGATCGTGAGCGCGGAATGATGATACCATACGAACATGGAGTTGACCGATTCTTGGACTTCGACGTTGTTGCTCTTGTCGATGCAGCATGTATCGCTCCATGCCCAGTTATACCCCGCGTCACGAGCAGTTCTGCAGAACGACCGCAGCTTCGTAATGCCGCCAATCGAATCCAACTCTGAGTCGTACACGCACTTGCCCTGGATATCCTGCGGCAGCGGCTCCCTCCCTTCCCACCTGTGTGATAGCATGGCATATTGCAGGTATCTCTTCACCACTTCTTCGATGTGCTCGATGTGCAAGTCTGCATGCGTGATTGTTGATGACACAAGCTCCTTATACTGCGAGCTCATTTTGAAGGTGTCTATCTGCGTCTCTCGATCGCATAAGAGACCTGTGGTGGTGTTGAGTACACGCAGCGGAGCATCGTCGAGTTGGGCATCAATGACCCGTCGAATGGCGCGTTCTACTTCAGAAGGTCTGAGATGCTGCTGGCACAGCTCTGGAGAAGGAGTTAAATATGTTGACAAATGCGTTATCAGAGACTTACTTCGTGTCTGAACATCGGGTGCATTGTCCAATATCGAGAACATCGTTTTGAAGGTTTCAATCGCTTCATTATAGCAGCGCGCACCATGAAGCGCTGCGTGCTTCAGATTGTATCCAAGATAAGACAAAGAGTCGAGTTCGATGACCTATGTATCGCTACAATGAGCATCAGTTATGGGACAAGAGTTCCCATCGCACCTTCTGTGCATCGAGAAGTGCTTCGGTCCATAGCATTTTGCCCAACTTTGCCTTGCTACGATCTGCAAAGACAACATCAGATGCAGAGTTCGAGTTTATTATCGCCGAGTATAGGTGGATAGCCTTGTCATAATCGTTCGTAGCGAGGGCGGAATCTCCGTTGGCAGCACATAGCACACTACATTGTTGCTTGAATTCTGAGTCAAATGCAGGTGAGTATGATGGCCTCGGGTGACATCACTAAAACTTGCCATTGGACCAATTGAGGCAACTGGCCTTCACAGTCTCGTCGATGGCATCCATCATGTATTTGTGTGCTTCGAGGGCTTCATCAGGTTTACCTGCCGAAAGGAAAGCCTGGCACCGATTCTGGTGTGTCGTAAGCAACAAGGACTCAAGATCCCAGCCGAAGAGCTGCAAAAAGGACTAGGTTATGAAGAGGGTTGGGTATGCATCATCTTGACGAACCATGACCAAGTCCTCGTATATCAAATGGATATATTTCGATGAGAAAGCAGTGGAGTTGACGGCGACAGTGAAGTGATCAGTAGCTTCGTCATGACGCGCATCATCCAAGGCTTTGATCCCGAGCTGAACATGTAGATATATCTATTGTGCGAGTTGAAAAGATCAGGATTGATGACCGAGTGTGGCCGCATGATACTCACTTCTACGACACGACGCGGGAGAGGATCAACATTCGGACAAGCGGCAGCCAGGTCTTGGATGAGTAGCATTGCTTCCTCATGTTGATCTGCGTTGAAGAGTGCGATGGCCTGGAATACCAGATGAAACGGATAGCATGGGAGACGAATTAAGTGTACCTTGATCAAGAGAAGAAATTGGTTGATTTCTGAATCTAGGTTCGTGAACATCGATGCAATGTCGAATGCCACTCTTGCTTCCCGGACGTGACCTTTTCCGCAGAGGGCGATACCTTTCGAGATGAAGCCTATCAATGATGGCCGAATATTTATTGACTATGTCAAGGATGAAAGTTGGCCTTTCGTAAGAGAACAATGATGGGTGGGTCCATCTCACCTTGATTGCATCCTCAAGGGCGTGGTCCAAGTCGTGCTTCCGGGCCATAACGAACGAACGGTTGGCATATGAAGTAAAATTGTCAGCGTTGGTGTGGATCTCTTGGGTGAGGAGCTCTTCAGCGATAGACAAGTTTCCAGTTAGACAAGCATCGTGGGCTGTTGTAATAGCAATGATCTGTATGAAGGATGCTCGAAGTGTGTAATCAGTCAGGAATGAAAACTCGCCTTTGAATGAGCGTCCTTTGGTACTGCCCACTTTGAGATCTTGCTATCTGTACCTCCGCTGAGGATGTACTTGCCGTCCACAGAGAACGTGACACATTTCAGGATGGATGAATGCTGGAAGATGGCAACCGTTCGTTGATCTGAGAGCCGCCAGAGACGGACATGGCTGTCATAAGATGCAGAAGCGACGAGGGTGCCAGTGGGATGAATGGCAATGGTGTTGATACTGCTAGTGTGACCTTTCCATGGACGACCGACCTGCTGCCAGGTTGATGTGTCCCACTTTCGTATGTCATTACTACATGCTGCAAGAAGGCGTGTGCCATCGGGCGTCCACACAAGTGACTTCCGCAGTGCTTCGTGACCTATCAAATATGCGACACGTTCTTTTGTGCCTGTAGTAAAAATTTCGATATCCATGATGTCTGTTGCGATGGCAAGAAGTTCACCAGAAGGCGAATATCGAACGCACTCGACAAACTTGAAAGTGCCCCACTCGATTGGATCTCCTTGCATCTGCCACGTTTTCGTACTCCAAAACTTCACCGTGCCGCACTGGTCATATGAACCACCCGCAGTGGCCAGCACTGTACCATCCGGACAAAAATCCACCGATTTGATGACCTTGAAGTGGGCTTTGATGGGTTGGGTGATGGATTCGCCAGTTTCACCGTGCCAGGCGATGACTTGTCCATTTGTATCACCACTCGCTATTATTTTACCATCTCGCGATATCGCCAATGCCCACACCTCCCTGCTATGGCCTTCCATCTTCTTCAACACAACACCTGTCTCCAGGTCCCAAAGACGAAGTGTCTTGTCGTCCGAACCCGTAATCATTCGTCGTTTGTCAGGGAACACTGCAACTACGTTTATGTGCCCCTTGTGATCTTCAAAAGTTCGAATGGATGTGGTGTTTGGAATGAGCTGTGACATTTTACTGGAGGTTGATGGTGTTGAGCACGGCGGAGGGAATATCGTGGGTGTCTTTCTCTAAGTTACAGAAGTGCGTGTGCATTTGTATGTTGCTTCATCACGCTAAGCTTCCTCGTTTCCATAGTAGACGCCCAAGACACGAGGCAGTTCGTCATCACCATTGCAGCAAGATTGATCCCACCCAATCATAACCGACTGCACTGGCTACATGCGTCCGACATTTGTCTTCACAGTTCCAAGCCCTACCGAGACATCAAGCGAGTATCACACCTCCAACAAACTTTCAAGCTCAAGTCTTACGTCTCATGACCGCTCGCCTTATGACTCACTGTAGACTAGTATACAGTGTCTGCATGTTTATGGTGCGTCTTGATTGTTGATTCCCGTCAGGACGGGAACGTTCCCAGTATTATCCATTAAGATAAAGCTTTTGTTGCTTTCGCCTGTGAATTCGAGCCCGAGAGCGACCATGATGTGCATCATAAATGAAAAATACAAGGACATGCTAATGATTTGTAAAGCGCAAAGTTCGAGCATTCCGATCAGCATCAGTGGTCGTCCGCGCCCGGCCACCCCCATTTAATGAGTCGAGTCGCTCCGTCATGCCACGACCGTACTTCGCGGCTAGCTAGTCTGGAAGCATCAATGAACACCGGATGCCTGGGAACAGCCACAAATTTTAGCGTCAGAATGAAAATATGACATCTAATCGGCTCACCATTTTCCATTGATCTCCTCTGTCCGCTCCGCTGCATAATCTACCCACGTCCACCTCAACGCCCCAACATCTGACTACTATTCCAGATCCCTTTCATCGCTCGTCATGATAACATGTGTAGCATCAATCCCTTTTCGTGTCCGAAGCTCTTCTTGCACCTCAGACACCCTGCGCGCAACGACAAACAATGGGGCGAGGCACAGATCCACAGGAAACTTCTCGCATTGCTGGCTGAAGTCACCATGCCGTATGTGGATCGATATATACTATCAAAAGTTAGATCTGTAGAGTAATCTATTTCCGAGCCTTTCACTCACGGGAGGAGTTGGCTCCATTACTGGTACATTCATAGCGCGTCGGGCATGTACATCGGCAATCGTTTACATGCTTGCGGTCCATCGCATGTGTTGGCCTACAAATCTCCATGCAGGAGGATAGTTTAATTTCCATTCCCATGTATGATGCGCGCTTATGTAGTAAAGGAAACCGAAGCATAATACGTGATCGTACGTGATCGTCCGGGGCTGAGGAGAAGGATGATTCGTTAATGATAATTCCAAGCTTTTCGAGCGAGCCTCTGGAGATCCGAGTGATGCGAGGGTCCAAAATGATGCATGATTGTGGACCGTCTCTCCTGTCTGTAAGAAAACTTGAGAATCTGGGTTGCTTTCGTTACTCGTGGTGAAATTCTGCTTCGACGGGGTGTGCATGTTTCTTTACTTGATGAAAATAGACGTTCGCGCGGCACAAAGGATGCCTGAGCTGGAAGGACATCCATAGCAACGCAGAAAAGTACTATGGATAGACTTTTTCCATGCGCTGAAATTGACTTTAGCATCTTCCTTATGTGCGTGAAGGAACAGTCGAGCTCACCTTCCAGAAGCGAACGAGATCAGTCACGCGCTCGCCCGCATTGAGCGTGATTGGTTCGCGCTCATAACGCTCAAGCTCACTCAGAGCATCTTTTCGGTCCTCTTTGAGTGCCTTAGCACACTGTGCAGTGAGTTCTTCGATCGAAAACTGGTTTTGTATTGTGTGGATGGGTGTCCTTGAGGCGTGTGCGACTGATGATGTCGATGCTTGACAGGCGAGAGACTGCGTGAGCTGGACCGGAAACGACGCTAGTAGCAGCGCATGTTGTTGCTCAGATGCCGAAGGGATAGCAGAAGCTGCAGAACTGCTCCACTGGTGAAAACTCATGTTTTGTGAATATAATACTAAACTCACAGCACGATGCACAAATTTATACGATGACCCAGACACTTGTCGCCTAATCACGCTCGAGGACGGGCAACGGAGGAGCAGAGTACATTGAGGAAATGCTAGAGATGTGAGGTTGCTGGAGTAACGAATCATTAAGTCACGTGTTTGTTGGTCACAGGCCAAATTTAGGTTCCTAATTCGATGCTTATTATAACCGAGTTGTAAAGTAGTACTCATTTTTTCTATATGGCGTCGTTGTTGGCTCTGCGCCAGCTTCGCGGTCCTGGAAGTTCAACCTCCTCACAGTTCCACACGTCCATCGTGTCGTCTCAATTCCGTACGAAATCCAAAAAACCGAATGGCAAGCCAGGTAAGTGTTGATACATCTAACTCCAATTCTCCTGCATAACATAGACACCAACTTTTTTCCTAGCCTCTGCACGCACCCGTCTTGCGAAATCGCTGCAGCCAGCCGGAAAGGCCAAAAGGCTCGGCAAGCTCGAGGTAGCGCCGTCACGTCCTGAATTCAAGCGCGATGCTCTCCCGCATGAAGGCCTTGCGCCACAACAACGAGCGAGCCCGCTTAGGCGGAAAACGACGGAATCAAGATTCATCCCGAAGCGCCCGGCACCAAACGATGATGCGGATGCTCAAACTGAGGTCAAGAATTGGGCTATCAAAGCTCACTCTGAACGCGTAGACAGACGCAAGGTTGCAGCACGTCAACCGCCCGTCGCTCAAGTCAATCCCTTAGGAGAGGAGTTTGATCTGTCTGTACCGGCTACTTCCTCCAGCAAAGACCTTCCCACTCGATTCTCTTCTCCGCCCTTGATGCCCGGGTTGCTGCAAAGCTTACAAGAGACACTAGGAAATGATGCAACACCAACCGCAATTCAAGCATTGTCGATGAAGAATTTATTCAGGGATCGCGTGGAGGGCGAGAGGTACAAGGAGTTCCTGCTTGCTAGCGAGACGGGGTCAGGGAAGTCTATAGCTTACTTTCTTCCAATGTTACAGGATCTCAAACGCACGGAACACGAACAGTCTGACGCCGTTTCCCAGCATTCGACTCCCAGGCCTTTGAATCCTCGTGCACTCGTACTTGCGCCTACCCACGAACTCACTCGCCAACTCGCCAGCTTCGCAAAAAACTTATCTCACGTTATCAAATTGCGCGTCATGTGCGCTAGCAAGGCAAATACAACTAGCACAGCCAAGTTTAGTGGAACCGCCTCGAAAATGAAAGAAAAATTTGAGGAAGCTGGTACTGTGAGTGATGGTGCATTCGTGATTTCAAAATCCTCCCGTGGGTCAAGACCGGTAGACCTTCTGGTGGGTACGCCGATGAAGCTTCTTGAGATGGAGCGTGGGAGAGGCTGGAACTGGGAGGAGCGGGCAAGGGAGCGGGCGATGAGGATAGGGAAGGTAAAATCCGAAGATGTAAAGGATGCGGATGAGGGCAGCAAAGAGGCCTCGAGAGAGTTTTGGGTTGACGAACCAGAGATGGGCTTGGAGAACGTGCAGTGGGTGGTCGTAGACGAGGCAGACGTCCTCTTCGGTGCGTGTTTCACTCAAGGCATACATACGTTTACTGATATTGTACAGATCCGGACTTTCAAGAATCTACTCGCATGCTTCTTGGTGATATCGCTGCAGCTCGTGGTTCACCTGTCCCAGTCATCCCTTCCTCGGCTCTATCCTCAACTCCAGATTCAGAAGCAACTACAACGATCTCCTACCCGTTCAACTTTCTTCTCACCAGCGCAACAATTCCCACATCCCTTGCTACCTATCTTTCAAACTACCATCCATCCCTCACCCGCCTTGCATCCCCACGGCTGCATCACCTCCCTCCGACCCTTCGCACAGAGCACACCTCATGGACGGGTGGGAATAAAAATGCCGACATCGAGCGCCGCATCCGTCGCGTATGGGCTGAAGATGCCCTCGTGCACTCCAAGACTGCAACCGGTTCCGGCCCCGTCAAACTCTCCAAGCTCCTCGTCTTCTGCAACAAACGCAGCAAAGTCGAGCAACTGGCTGCATTCCTCGACGGCCGCGGGATCAAATGTGTTGCGCTCACCGGTGGTGCAGAAACGCGCAAACGGGGGTCGAATCATCATCTCGACGGGTTCTTGAAGACGGGTGGGCCTGTCCTGACGGGTCCGGGTGTGTGTGATCCGGCTCAGACGCCTCATGTGCTTGTTACGACCTCGCTTCTTTCACGTGGGCTGGATTTTTCGCCGATGATCAAGCATGTGTTCATTGTTGACGAGCCGAGGAATATGATTGATTTTTTGCATCGTGCTGGTCGTGCTGGACGTGCGGGCGAGGCGGGGAAGGTGGTGGTGTTTGGAAGGGCGAAAGGGAGGGGTAGTGGGCGGACGGAGGATGTCAAAGAGAAGGTTAGGGCTGTTGCTGGATAGATGGTGGTGGTGTGTCGTTCACGATCATTTCAACTGATCTTATGTGTATTGTTCATAGGCGTCTGATAATCCCTACTAATGAATTTTGCATGCTGTCCCTTTACTCGTGGCGGCCGTCGCGCATAACGCAGAGCCAATCCTTGACATTGCTGGATTAACCCTCCAGTCACAGTGAAACTCCTGGTCACAGTCAGGTTGCTACAGAGTACGCCCGAGTGAAAAAAAAAAAAAAGAAGAAATGTTGTTCAAAGGGCCGCTACCGAGTTCCGGAAAGTATTTGCTGCCGTGTTTACCAAACCTGGTTGAGGTGAGTCTGACTATCGTGCCCTCTCGAGCTGCCGCACCTTCCGAAAGAACGAAAATTCCTATAAGGTGTTATTTCTTCAGGGTGTGTTTTCAAATTCTAATGAGGACTCCCAATGAACATTCCGAGTCCGTGCCCAGTGTACATGTGTATCTCGAGGCAGTCCAGATCGATTGCCGCGTCGGAGTGCATGTTCGAATTTCTCTTTCAGGATATACTTCCACTAGGAAGACACTCCAAGCGGTCCAAATTTGTTTCCGTCGAGAATTCTGTAGACACGATGTTCTCTGTCATATATGTACTGAGATTGAATTCCTGGCAATATATTAATGAGGACACCTAGAAGATACTGGAATGAACTGGCTAGTCCAGATTAGTTGCCATAGGCGGGCCTACTAGAATATTCTACATTAAATGCAAAGCGAGTCCGGACACGATGCGTCGATGTTCCTCTCCATGAGGGCACGTTGCATATGGACTGAAGAGCGACGATGAGAATTTTCGAGGTCTTCTGGTCACGTCAAGCATTAGAAATTCCGTCATGGAACATTGATACCGAGGACATGGGTCATGGTCATGGTGTCAGCCTGAAGCGAGAACGGATGGTATGTTTTTTTTTTCAGTTCAACATATATCATAATGATACCGTAGGAGCTGTACATTGCTTGCGCTCAATCTTGACTCCTATTAGTATTACCTACTACAAGACCCACTCGGAGTCGGATGGGGCTAGTGCTGATCGTGATCGATCTTACATGTAAACTAATAACATGTAGCATTACCTGTATATCTCATCACAGCTCACGTGTTCAAAGGTCTCGGCTCCGGACTCGAGAATGATTAACGTTCATCGTCTCCGACTCGCTTGTTGCGACTACAATCCTCCCGGCGGTCCGAGCCTTCCTGGATTCCGAGTCAACAGCTCAAACTATCTCGATTTTTCGACGCGTTTTGTGTTTGGCTTTTAAGCTTATAAAGCTTGTCAGTCATTCTATTGCCCTGACCATGCCGATGGCCCGGGGGCCTCAAGTTTCCTGACTTAGTATATGACGCTCTGTCGGTCACTAAGGCTCGGCTGTAATCCAAACGACACGTTTACTACACTATTCCTGAAAAGCATATGCCAGGGGAATGCAGCCCCTTCGAGAATCTGGGCCTTCAGATCGTGACCCTTACTGCCGGCGGTTACCATGTCGCAGCGTGCTAATGAGCGATCCAAGCCTAAGCTCAAGCCCAAGACCCTCAACTCGGACTCGGACTCGGACTCACTCAGAGTCGGACGCATTTGATCTCCGAGTCTTTGTATCGAATATTGTCCTACATGCGGCAAGAACTGCCCAAGTTTCCACCAAGACTTTGGTAAGAGCATACACTCCGAGTACGAGGTTACCGTCCACACACTTATGTGCTCACAGGCATTTCATTTCCCGGCCACTCCCGCAACGTGCCAACGGGTGACGATAAGATTACAAAGATCGCAATTGAATGCCAAACAGTGCTACCATGAGCTAGTCGGGGTCACTGATTACTAGGCTTCGATCAGGGTCTGGTTTGGAGCTAGGGAATGTTAATCTTTCAACCTGCTCACGCAATTGTACAATACTCACCATCAATTTGTATGGGAAGGGCGCCACCACTATTGTCAAAGTTATCGTAACAGCCGTACACTCCTCGGTTTCTCGGTGCATCTAATTGTTCACATCTTCCTACGCTCGGGTCTTGGATATGAAAACGAACTTGGTCACCCACAGCATGTCAGTGCGTCCTGACACGATGACGGCGTATTTACGTGGTTGGACGTCACGGTTGAATGTTAACGAGCGTCTGGAACCTACTAGATGAAGCATCAGAGCCGGCGGTAGCAAACTCGAATGCCGTGGCCCCAAGAATAACTCAAAGCTAACTAACGCTTTTATCCTAGTTCATCATGGTCCCTAAATATCAGACCGAAAAACTTCAAGGCCAAGAAGCCTCCACTTGGGGTTGCCGAAATACATTCCCACATATCCGCAGCAAGAATGTGTCTCTTTGAACCCTTTCCTCCCAGTTACGAACTTCTCTCATTCCTCGCTACCGTGCCATACATATGCAGCCCGACGAAGATCATCTATGACATACTCTGCCGCGCGAATGCTTACGCGTACACACATGTACCACATCTTGTAATACCCGCGACTCGTTCCATCACCACCTGGCCAATTGGCACCTAATCTCATTGGCCCCCCTAGCGCTGTACGGCACCCACTTTTGTGTGTTAGAATATGTACGTTTCCCAGAAAGTTTTAGACTAGCTGCCGCTCTAACTAATTCGGTTGCGTCAACAGGAGGTCGCCGATTGGTAGTCTTCAGTTGTATAAAGACATGACCAGCTTCCAAAAACCGCCATATTCAAGAAGCCTTCACTGCCTTTGTCTCGGATATGGATACATTGCCTCAATTACCGCGGTCTTCGTCGTCATACTTCTGGGGGCAGGACGCACATGTTGACGTTAGGTGAGCAGGCTATCATTTCTACCAACGAGTACTAGTCCTCATGCTGTGTTCAGTGTTTACGATGGGCGGTCCAGCATTAGTGAATCACAAACTCTACCTCGAGGGTTTGATTATTCTCCGTCAACGTATGTGTTGCTCGCGAGTCGATAACCTTGACGCTCATGTGTGTTTCAGGAACATGGCGTACGGTCATGCAGGTTCGCAGGAGTATTTCGCTGGACCGCCCCTGATCGACACCAGGGCTTGGGAAACCTTGTTTTACCATCCTTCAGAAAACTTTTCGCGCAGCTCGCCGTCAGCACCCAATCATTGGCAGTACAGCTATTCTTCACCCGCAGGCCGTGAATATCCCACATCCGACAACTACATGGATGAATCTACTCAAAGCGAGTGGACGACAACGCCAGTTGACGCTCATCCGCCGTACACGCCGCTCGCCCCAAGCCCCCCATTTCCTTCAGTACCCTCAGAATCACACGTGTCTCCCTCTGTTGACGATCGAGAGCTGCATCATGAACACATTGTGTCCGACGTGGAAGTATTTTACTGTCCGCTGCCATCAAGTGATGGAACGTATTGCAATGCACCGATCCCGTGCAACGAAGCCCGCATCACCGCACACTTGCGCAGCATCCACGCGCTCCATGCGAAGCGTTTTGAAGTCATTAGTTGTCTGTGGCCTGGATGCAAGTGTAGCATGCAAGCAGCGAGCATTCCTCGTCACATCATCACGCTTCACGTCAAGACACGTTTCCAATGCTCGTACTGCGGCAAAAGCCTCACGAGAAAAGATGGCAAGTTGAAGCACGAGAAAATCTGTCATGAAAAACCGTGATGGCACTTCCATTTTCCTCAGGTTATTGATCAGCCAGCGCCTCATTTAAACTAAGATTCTCTTGCATACTAATTACAGCTTCTCAATTTTATACCACGCAGTTTCTTGCATATTTGAACGTTAACCTTTATATTCTATCCCCTCGGGGCGCCTTGTATGGTAGAAATCTTTCATATTAACGAATCATGTTGCAAAGTTGCCCGCTCAAGCCCCCTGAAGCATAAGCATTACTAAGCAAATTAATATTTTATGAGTCAGTTTCAATTTGCCAGCAAGCTCAAATCCTTCTGGCTACCAAGAAGCAATGTTTGCACTTCGGTCGCGCTGCGCGTCTCGTGTAGCGAATTCGCGGCTTTTTTCGACTTCGACGCGCCTTCGCGCTCCTGAAGATGCACCAAAGCCACCACGATCCATCGATGACTCGACCTCTGCGCTGGACTACAAAAGAGCACAACGGACACGTCCACCACCTCTTCCCCCTACGGACCTTCCAAGATCTCAAAGCGCGGAAGAAGCTGTGACGAACATCCTCTATAACACCCCTCCTCCGAGTCTGCAGCCCTTCAAAAAGTGTATTTTATTCACAAACCAAGTTTTTGCAGCTTTGCTGACGGAGCCCGACTTAGACATATCTTTAACTGCCTGGTACAAAATGAACCTGGTGTGTTATCCCGCGTGTCTGGTATCCTCGCTGGACGTGGGTTTAACATCGACTCTCTGGTGGTGTGCCGGACTGAAATTCGGGACTTGAGTCGGATGTCCATCGTCCTTAGCGGACAGGATGGAGTCGTGGAGCAGGCAAGGAGACAGCTAGAAGACCTCGTAAGTTATCTTGTCCAACACTCTTTCGCCCTTTTCATTGCAGAATAGGTGCCTGTATGGGCTGTTCTCGACTATACAGATACCCGTGTCATCACACGTGAATTGCTCCTCGTAAAAGTGTCCATCCTTGGTCCCGAGTACTTGGAGGATCAACTCGTGGGCGGACCCTCTCATGAACCAAGGCGTGGTCCCCACCCACCTCATCAGGAGACCAAACTTGAAAAAGAAACCACGCTCGCTCACAATTTCGAGCGTGGTGCGCACCCTAACTCTCACACAGAGCCACATCATCCACCCCCATTGACGGCCTCCGAGGCCCTGCGCCACAAACATCAGCACCTCCATTCCATCTCCGTCTTATCCGACCAATTCGGAGCAAAGATCGTCGATGTGAGCGAGAACAGCGTCATCGTCGAGCTCACTGCAAAAACGAACCGCGTCATCGCGTTTTTGAGTTTGCTCAAACCATTTGGAATTTTGGAATCGGCTCGGACTGGTAAGTCTTGTCTTCGTGTTTGTGCGAGTTAAGTTAACTGTCTGTAGGTCTTATGGCAATGCCGCGGACACCCATCACGCATTCCTCGAATGATTCTGATGATGCAGCGGATGAGATTGGTGTTGTAGATGCTAGTTTGCTTCCCCCTGGTTAGGTGGGCAGTTGAAGCGGATGTCGTGTGATATGTATTGATTAAGATATATCATGCTAACAATTCTATATAGCGAGAAATCTAGAGGATTCATATCAGCTGTGATCTTGTAATTCCCCGACGAGCATGGTGGAATGATATCATCGATTAGCAACTGATGTCCAAGATCAATCCTAGAAGATATGTATATGCCGATACGCGTACATTTCAAGTTGGGGTATACGAGAGTTTCCATCAATAACGTTGATCTAGGGTCTTGTAAGCCGGACCGTGCTGGGTTTACATATCTCACAATTGCATAGATCTTCGCGTGTTCTTTGCATCGTTTCCCTATCACCTTGCGTCTCCTCAGCCAAAGTTTGAGTTACCCAACTCCCTCGGGGTGTTTTGATTTGGTCGGTTATTGTGTATGCAAAGCTGTAATAGAGTGGTCGCACCCAGCACCAGTGATCGACGCGTTTTCACCACCATAAGTTAGGATGAGTGCTTCTCGGAGAGGTCTGACTGGTCCTTAAATACAGCTATAGTATTTCTATGGAACTGACATCCATGTTGTCAACGGAAGCTATGTCTTTGACTTGTGCAATGATGTTATGGTCCGACGCAATCCTCTTGTACTCTCCGTCACGCTGCTGCGCCAGCAAAAATGCGCCGAATGGCTGACCAAGGTGAACCATCATTCGTAACGCTCGTGAGCGATGCTCCTCCTCTTCTAGAGGCGGACCGCAGGGGAACTCATCAGAGCCGTCTGACTGAGACCCGGGCTCGGACAAATCCCCTACGCTCCCTTCATCGTCTGCAAAGTCGAGTTGCTCGAGGAGACGACGATCCCATGGACGGACAAGGAGGAACGTTTGTCGAGTGGGCCTTGCTCGGGAGAATTGACTTAATGTCTCGCTCGTGGTGATCAGCAGGTTTTGAAGCCCATCTGCTTTGACTCTATAAAGAAAATGCGTCTCTTGGGCTGGACCACGTCTGATTTCCGTGACAGGGAATGAGATGCAAGGCAAATGCAGTCTGCGGCTCGCGAAGCGAGGAACGCTCATGCCCTTCAACAGCGCATAGAGTTTCGAGGCCGAATCCACAGCCACGCTATTTTTTCGCAGCGAAAAGACCTCTGTCTGGATCTCATCTTCAGACAAAGATGGTGGGGCGTATGGTAGGGAGGCGTATGAGGTAATGTCGGCAGGAAGACAACTGTTGAACTCAGATGCTTGCCCGACCCAATCGAGGGCAGTAATGTCGCCCGACCGAGCAATAATCTCCTGCAGGAGACGCCCGAGCGCATTTGCCTTCTTCTCGCCATAATCTAGAGGTAGACGGACATCGAAGACGCCAAACAACGAGTATGCAATGTCTTCCTGAATCGTTGTAATACGATTTGACGCCCATTGAAGTCTCTCTCGTGCACCACTCATCCCTGGGGAGAAGTTGACGAGGGCCTGTCGATCAATGCCAGTCGCGACCTCCAACTCCTTCATTATTGCACTCGACTTTTTATGGTTGGGAGAGCGATCATTGAGATATGGGGTCCAATCCTTCTGATAAAAGATAACGACTCTGGAAGCAAGAAATTCTTGGAAGGTCCAGCCTCGTCTGTTCCACTCACTCCTCTCCAGAGCACCAGACTTGGATGAAGGCAGAATATCCCAGAGGTAGACAATCGTAAGCGCTGAATGCTGATACCAGACGAACATGGAGTTGAGCGATGTTTGCAACTCGACGTTGCTGCTCTTGTCAATGCAGCATGTATCGCTCCACGCCCAACGGTAACCCGAATCACGAGCAATTTCGCAGAACTTTCGCAACTTTACGATGCCACCAGGTAAATTCAGCTTGTACACAATCTTGCCCTGGATGTCCTGCAGCAGCGGCTCGTTCCCTTCCCACCTATGGGATAACATGACATAACGGAAGTAAGTTGCCACCGCTTCTGTGATGTGTTCCATTCGGAGGTTTGCGCGCTTCATAGACCATGATAGCCAAAGCTCATTGTGCTCTGCGCTCAATTTGAAGGCGCTTATCTGTGCTTGACGGTCACATAAGAGCCCGGTCGCAGTGTTGAGTAGACGAAGCGGGGCAGTATCGAGTTGTTGGTCAATGGCCCTTCGGATAACCCCTTCTGATTCAGATGGACTAGCATACTGCTTGCGAAGATCTGACGGAGGGGTTGAGCATCCCCCACAATTGTACCCATTGAGGGCTTACTTTGCATTTCCACGTCGTGAGCACTTTCTAGTTTGGTGAACATCATTCGGAAGGCTGCGATAGCTTCATCATAGCGATGTGCGCCTTGAAGCGCCGCGAGCTTCAACTTGTATCCAACATGAGACGAAGGGTTCAGTTGGATGACCTTTGTATACCAAAGTCAGCATTCGATTACGAAATGTCCTGAATAGGTGTCATCGCACCTTCTGTGCATCGAGAAGTGCTTCGGTCCATAGTCTTTTCCCTAACTTTGCCTTACTACGATTTGCGAAGACGGCATCGGATGCAGAATTTACGCTGATCACTGCTGAGTATAGGTTAATAGCACTGTCATAAGTGCCTGCAGCGAGGGCAGCATGTCCGTTGTCAAGGCAGAGCGCGCTGCATTCTTCCTTAAAAACTGAGTGAGATGCGAGTGAGGATTGTAGCTTGCATGACATTATGAACTTCAAACTTGCCGTTGGACCAGTCAAGGCAGCCGGCCTTCGTATTGTTGTCAATCTTATTCATCATGTCTCGGTATGAATTCAGGGCTTCGGCAAGCCTGCCTGCTTGACGGAGCGCAACGCATCGTTTCTGGTGTGCATCTTTCCACAAGGACTTGAGGTCCAATCCGAAGAGCTGCGCAAAGCATGGTGTTCAACGTGACAAGCATGTTCAGATGAATTGTATCAACATACCACCACAAAGTCATCGCATGAAGGATAAATCGTCGATGTAGATAACAGAGCGCTGGACTGGACAGCAGCAGTGAAGTGATCGGCAGCGTGGTTAGGAAGGGCGTCATTCATGGCATTGACACCGAGTTGGACACGCATATATGCCTGATGTGCGAAGTTCAGCGAGATTAGTATTAAGAGGTTGATCAAGGAGCTGATACTCACCTCCACGACGCGACACGCAAGAGAGTTGTGATTCGGACACGTTGCAGCAAGCTCTCGCACAAATATGATTGATTCCTCGTGTTGGTCCGCATTGAAAATAGCGATGGCCTGAAAACAACGAGTTGAAATATGAATCATGTGAGAGAAAATCTAATGTTGCCTTGACCAAGAGAAGTATAATCTTTGAATCTTCGTTCGCGAACGTTGACGCGAGGTCAAATGCTATTCTCGCGCCCTGGATATGGCCTCTTCCATATAATGCAATGCCCTTGGAGATATAGCCTGTCAATGATGGCTGAATGCTGATGGACTACGTTACGGAGGAAGGTTGGCCTTTCGTAAGGGGACCATGGTATGTTAGTCTCTCACCTCGATTGCATCCTGAAGCGCATGGTCCCAGTCGCATTTTCGTGCCATAACGAATGAGCGGTTAGCATATGAGGCGTAATTGTTGGCATCGGTGTTTATCTCTCGTGTAAACAGTTGTTCAGCGGTAGACAGATCCCCCGCGATACATGCATTATAGGCGGTCGTATTGATAGGGAAAATCTGGGGCATGAAGATTGTCTGAATTACATGAGCAGAGTCAAGGATGGAAACGTGCCTTGGAATCAGATACATCGAAACATGCCTTGGAATCTGAGACTTGAGACTTGAATAAAATTGGATGTTAACCTGGAAAAGGGCGAATGGGGAATTCAACGGCAACTTACGTTGTTTGTGACTTTGTTGTCTAGAGGGTCCTTTGGTAAAGTGTCCTTGCGCGAGATGAGATGACGAATGCGCAGAAAATGAACCGGAGAGTAGCCAGATAAAAACAGAGATATAAAAATCAAGAATAATAAAATGGCTTCATTTATGTAAGAAGCACCTTCCTCCTGCAAAGCATCTTTTGGGTCCACTGCCCACTTTGTGAGCGTGTTATTGTCAGTGTAATAACTTCCACTGAAGATGTATTTGCCGTCCACGGAGAAAGCTAGGGATTGCGATGATTGCTGGAAGATGGCAACGGTTTGTCGATCTGACAGCCGCCAGAGACGGATGTCATCAGATGCGCCGGAAGCAACGAGTGTGCCATTAGGATCAACAGCAAGGGCATTGATATAGTTCGTGTGGCCCGTCGTCCAGGGATCACCGACCTGCTGCCAGGTCGATGTATCCCACTCCAGTATGGTTTTACTACTGCGTGCTGAAAGAAGGCGCGTGCCATCGGGCGTCCACACGATGGATGTTGCGTAAACCTCCAACTCTGCGACACGTTCCCTCGTGCTTGAATTATAAATTTCGACATTGGATGCTGCGATGGCAAGAAGTTCTCCAGACGGCGAATACCGAACATCGCCAACATAACCAGTAAAGTGGATTGAATTTCCCAGTAGCAGCTTCCAGGTTTCGGTGCACCACAGCTTCAATGTTTTGTCTGTTGAACCAGTGGCCAGCACTTTTCCATCAGGAGAAAAGTCCAGCGATAAGATCCGATTGTAGTCGGTGTACCTGACGTAGTTTTCGACGTTTCCAGTGAGTCGTTCACCTGTTTCTCCGTGCCAGACCGTGACCACTCCGTGCAGGTCACCGCTTGCCATCAATTGCCCATCTCGTGACACTGCCAAGGCCGACACCCAACCGCTATGCCACTCTATCTTCTTCAACATGACACCTTTCTTCAAGTCCCATATACGAAGCGTGCGGTCGTACGAAGCTGTGACCATTCGCCGTTTGTCGGGGAAAACTGCGACTGCCCTTACGCGTTCTTCATGGCCTTTAAACTCTCGCAGGGGTGTGGTGCTTATATTTGGCTCCGACATCTTGCTGGAGGCTGATGGTGTTGAACACGGTCGAGGTCGACTGGAGGGACCGTGGGTGTCTTTGTCTAAGCTGCAGAAGTGCGTGTTTTATGCTGTGTCACTAGTGCATTTGCCTGCATCGTGTTTCCATAGACGCCCAAAACATTAGATCACTTTTCGCCTCCACACCTCCATAACCGTTGTAGCAGGAATGCCCCGTATTGTGATGCTCGCCTTCCTAGATAGCATACGCTCCCGGCGCCTCTGCACTGTGTACATGTGTTTGACTATTATCTCCACAGCTTCTAGCCTATGATGTACCACTATCTAATTCAGATTGTGCAGTTGTGACTTCCCGGCGCTCGAATACAATCCATCCTGGATGGCCGCACGAATATCGGTGTTTCTCATATCGAGCAGCTACTCAAGTATATCACCTTGTAACTTGCCCGAACACATCCATATATTTTAGTGCAATATCACTTCATCCAGTCGAAGATCTGCATTGTGGATGCGGCCGAATTTATCTATTCTCGCTTCTCAATCCGAAATCATGCAGCCCGGGGTGTTTCCACTTCCAAGGCTCGTTTTATCCAACACTTGTGAGACAACACCCTTAAAGGTGTTCATTTTCCGAGGAAAGTGAGTGGCACATATGCATGAATACATATTACAATAAAGACTTTGCACAGACCTATGTGTCCTTGAAATCCACTGCGCAACACCGAATGACTAAATAAGCACCATGAATACTCACCCGAATCCGTGTGCCCAGGTCTTTCTCTCCCTCTCGGTCTTGCAAGTATATACCTATCCAGTAAAACTAGTATTACACGTCGTACCCAATACCAGTGATCAT